AAACAAAACAATATATATATATATATATATATATATATTTAACCAAATATATTAAGACAAAAAACAAGAAAACTCATGACAATTCTGAAGATAAACAATAAATCAATGGAGGAAGTCTTGCTCTACCAGATATTCAGTAAGCAGACTTTAGTAAACTCAAGGTCTTATACATCGTTAGACATTCTACCTGTATTATAAAGATAAGATTAAAGGACACACCTAAGGAAGCAAATTCAGGTCTTACCAACTCCAGAGCCCATGCTCTTAACAAATATATTAGTAGCTTATTTATACTGATTTTCCAAATTTTATCATTCAATCACCCTCATGCAAGTATGTGTAGCCACCCATCTTTACAGCAGCACAGTCTGTAATAACCAAATCTTGGAAACAGCTGAAATACCTATCAACTGGAGAATGGATAAAGATGTGGTTTTTTAATACAGTGGAGTACTACTCAGCCATAAAGAAGGATAAACTTGAGGCATTTCTAGCTAAATAGATACACCTTAAGATCATACTCTAAGTGAAATAAATCAGACACACATATTTAAATACTGCATTGTTGCTCTGGTGTGAGAAATTGAAAGTATAAATAAGGACCAAAATGTGTAACAGATACTGGGAAATGGGAAGAAAATGTTCAAATAAGGAAGGGGTGAGGGTGAAAGTGGAGAAGGGACAAGAGAAAAATCGAAGAAAAAAGGGAAACAAAGCTTTTGTAAATAAGGAGGGGAAAAGGGGTTGAAGGGAGTGGAGGGGAATGGGAAAAAAGAATCAAGATATATCATGTACAACCAAAAAAGAGGAAGTACGGGCAGCATGTGAGCCAAAAACTAAGCTGACTGGCACAAAGCCATGCCCCGGACTGCATCCGTGCTGCCCAGGTCCCCCAGGAGCTGAAGCAGCACCGGTCTGGGCACTCTCACCACAGTCACAGCAACCTCCACGAGAGTCAGATACGGGGCTTTAGGTTTAAGTACCAAGTAGGTCCGTTTACCTGCTTCACCTATGGAAAATGAGGTTTCCATCATCTGTACAACCTGAAGAAACTACAGAATTTTCAACAGCTGCTAATAGAGTAAATTTCAGATTTGTGTGATTTCAGGGTGCTACAACTGGTTAGAAATAATACTTAACATAGTAAGGGTGGTCAATGATACAATAATACAATAATCAATGTACTTGAAATACAGTTTCTTTCAAAGTTTAAAGTATCATTTTATGAAATCATCTAAAGCAACATAAAGTCCTTGGCTATATCTTGAATGTTTACTTAAAAACAGGACATTTTGGGGACCACTGGGGAAATCTGAATATGGTCTCCAATTCTATATTATTAACATATCAACATTAAATTTGGAAGGTATTAAAATGGGATTTTGGTTGTATAAGAAAGTATCTCATTCTTAGTTGGTACTCTCAATGGTTCCGAAGTAAAGTATCATGATATCTGCAACTCCCAAATGGTTTTTAAAGGGTATCTAGGTTGTAACATAGAAAGACAGGTTTTTTGTTTGTTTTGAGACAGGGTCACACTACATATAGTTCAGGCTGGCCTTGAACTCACTATATGGCCCAAGCTGGGCTCAAAACTCATGCAATCTTCCTGCCTCAGCCTCCCAAGTGCTGGGATTACAGGTGTGCACCACCATGCCGGGTCAAAAGACAGGTTTTTAAATGTGCCAGAAACGCCATCAATTGTGAAATATAGGTAAAGCATGCTTTTGTTGCTTTGTGTTTTTATCAATGTGTCATATTTTTAACTTTTCTGCAGACTTGAATATTTTAGGGAAAATGTTACTTTCATTACACTGATAAGGAATAAAATTCTACCATAAACCATGATCTGATGACATGCAGCTTACAATGTATCTATTTTATTATTCTCTAATAACTATGTCAATAATTCCCAGAAGTGTAAGTCACTCCTACCAGCAAGGGCGTTTCACTTGTTGAGACATCAGCAGGAACATCTGCAGCGCCAGGACCTTGCTTCTTCGATTCCCTGTCGCCTAGCATGCCAGCAATGGTCTCAGCAAGAGCATCATTCACCAAACACCTGATCGTGTCTGAACTCACAGGAACGCCTGCGTCAACAAAAAGCTGGAGGGCACCACCACAGGTTCCTTCCACTACAAACAGAAGATTTTCAGAATAAGTGGGCAAGAAACACACTAGTCTTCTAAGCCTTAGTGCTCACATTTTTACAGATGGCAGTATAGGTGTATATGCAGGCAGAAGATGGAGTCAAAATGAAAATACAAATATACCTACTTACAGTCAGAGAGACTAAAATAGCAATATGAATAATGAACATCCTCTCTCAACAAACCAAAAGGGGAGCCATACAGATGAATATTTATACAGCCTCTTTCCCACCACTGAAGAATTTAATAATAAAAAGGATTTGCATCCATATTCAATGTCCTATCTGAAAACAAATCGTATCGCCAGTCTTGGTCAAAAGTACAAGGACACAATAAGTAAGAGACAAAGTTTCCTTCCCTCTAGTCTCAGACACACCACTTATTAATATTAGAGGCCAAATGTCTCCAGACATCTGTAGCAGTTTTGGTGCCTGGTACTAGTATGTACTTTACAGCAATATTAATTTGCCACTGGGTTGCAAATAATTCACTTACATGAATTATAAAAACTTAAGTAAAAATTCCTTTAGGGACTTTACTGAATTTAAATGGTATTTCTAAAGCTCTGTGTGGAAATCTGTGAGCAACAATCTGTATAATCAAATAGATACTTTTGGTAGTACAAGGGTGGCGGCAACAGGCAGAATTCTCTAACAGGGGATACCGGTGTCTGGGATCACTCATTAGGGGTGATAGCAATTTACTCTGCAGTCACCATAGCAGAGATTTTCAAAACCCCAAACTTAATGTTGCACAAAATAACCCCAGACACCCCTTTTTTATTTCCATAACTGTTTTGGCATGACCAAAAAATCTCAGTCATAAAGCCCAAAACCCCTCCCCACATACTGGCAAGACAAAAGCAGAGAAAAACAAAACAGGATGTAAATATCCAATGTGAAAACATTTTAAAATTTTAATCAAGAAACACATCAATTTTCTTGTGACTGTGTTGGTCGTTTTTTTTCTTTCCTTGAAAAAATAAGATGATGAAAGAAAACCTGAGGCAGCAGCAGTGGGAGGACAGATGACAACTGTATTACATAGGAACAAGTAGCCAAAGGCAACAATAAAATACATGGAGCTGAGATGCAAGTTGTCATGAGTGGGGATGGAAGAGGAGCACAACAACAGAAACACAGTTATTATTATGATGACAATGATTATAAAAACAGTAACTCCAAGGCTTTGCAGGTTGGCTGCTGGGGAAATTGTACTATCACTGACAGAAATAGAGAGCAGAGGAAGAGCAGGCACGGGTAGACAAATGAGACACATTTTGGACATGCCAAATTTGGGATGCCAGGAGACCATCATGTAGAATATTCATCAGCAGGCAGAACTATAAGTTTATAATTCAGGGTTGGCCTAGAAGTCACCAACTAACACAAGATAACCAATAGTAAGAAGAAACTGGAAAAACAGACAAAAAAGAAGAACACAGGAATTTGGGAAATAATTTTCTTCAGCTACCAGAAAATAAAATGAAAAAAATGAAAGTCTTCAAGCTAAAAAAGACAGCAAGTAGAACAGAATGAAGCATAACGGAAGCCAAAAACCTATGGAACTCTAAGAATTAGAGGTGTTCAACAGCTCCCATTCTAGTAAAGGTTTGAAAAATGCTCTGAGGAAGAAGTTTATTGAAGCACAGGGTAGAAAACCAACCTGCACAGAACAGAAAGTGGGCATAAGAAAGTAAGAGCACAGGAAAGGGGGAAGAGGAGATTATTCTCAAACTGGAAAGAAGGAAAAAGTACACGTAATGATTCATAGAAATATTACTCCCCCAAAAGTTGGAAAACTTAACTCTCTCAATTTCTTTATTATTAAATTATACAATCAAGTGTGCCATTAGCATAAAGAAAAACTTGTAAATGAATGGGGCAAACAGAAAGTCCACAAACAGAGCTGTACATATTTAGCCAATTAATTTTCAACAAAAGAGTCAAAGGAGTTCAACAGAGAAAGAATAATCTTTTCAACAAATAGTGGAATTAGTAATTCATATGCAAAAAAAGAAAAGGAATCTTAATCCTTACTTCACCCACATACAACATTCAACTCCAATTATGCCACACAGGAGCTGGAAGTGTGGCATGGGGCTGAGCATGTGCACAGCAGGCATGAGGCCCCTAGGTGTGATCCCTAGGCACAGAGAGCAGGGCTATTGACCTAAAACGCATACTCTAAAATCACATGTTCTAGGGAAAAAAAAGAAAATCTTAATGACTTCAAGTTAGGCAAAGATTTAAGTAGTATGCGTAAAAGATTGACAGACTATAAAAGAAAAAAATGGTAAATTAGACTTCATCAAAATTAATCTTTTGGGGGCTGGGGATTTAGCTCAGCGGCAAAAGCGCCTGCCTGGCAAGCGCAAGGTCGTGAGTTTGGTTCCCAGTACCGGAGAAAAACCAAAAAAAAAAAAAAATTAATCTTTTGGGGGCTGGGGATTTAGCTCAGCGGCACCGTGCCTGCCTGGCAAGCACAAGGTCATGAGTTCAATTCCCGGTACCAGAAAAAAAACAAACTAACAAAAAAAATTAATCTTTTGGGGAGCCAGACATGGGAGCAAATGCCAACCTGGGCTACAGTGAGCTCAAGCCCACCCTGAACTACATCGTGAGAGCCCATATCAAAAAAATAACCTTAGGGGTCAGGGATACAGCTCAATAACACAGTGCCTACCTAGCAAGCACGAGGTCCTGAGTTTGATTCCCAGTACCCAAAAAAATAACAATAATAATCTTTTGCCCTTCAAAAGGTAATATTGAGAAAGCCAAAAGGCAAGACACAAACCAGAATGTATTTCCAACACACATACCCAGAACTTTTATCAAGAATAAAGAACTTATATAGGTCAACAGTATAAACACATAAATCTCAAGTTAAAAGTGAGCACAAGATTTGAAACATTTCTCCAAAGTAAATATATAGATGGCAGATAAACCCACAAAAATCTCTACAGCACCATCAGTCATCACTAACAATTACTCTCACTAGTGTACCTAAGAAAATGCAAATAAAAACCACAGTGGGTGCACTGTCGCCACCCACAACAGAATGGCTAGAATAAAACCACTGACAATACCAGCGATGTTGGAGATGTAGAAAATATGGAGTTCTTACACAGTGCTGAATCTTGGAAACAACCCAAATGCCTATCAACTGAGGAATGAATAAAAAAGATGTGGTATTTTTATACAATGGAATATTACTCAGCTATAAGGAAAGATAAACTTGAGGCTTTTATATGTGAATGGATGCAATTAGAGACCATGCTCATAAGTGAAATAAATCAGACTCACATGTGTAAACATCATATTGTCTCCCTAGAGTAAGAACCTGAAAGAGTAAATAAAATCTGAAAGGTACAGTAGATATTGTGAATGGGAAAGAAACTGCTCAAAAGGAAAGAACTGGGATGAGGGAAAGGAGAAAAAAAAGAAAAAAGGAAGAAAAAAAAAAAATATATATATATATACACAAAATAGCTAAGCTAACTGTACTACTAATTTTTATTAGTTTATTGAAAGGAACAGTTAATGTTTAATTGATCAATCTTGTATGCCTGTATCTGGTAATCTGAACAACTACTTTGAAGACAACAATATGTAACACAACAACCACTGTTAATTTCCTATCATCTTGTTTTGAAATTTTGTATTGTTTTTATTGTTTTTGTGGTGTTTTTTGTCTGTATTTTTGTTATTTTGGTTCTGTTCTTTTCTCTTTAAAATAAAAATAGAAAGACTCACAACGAAAGGAGAAACAGTGTCAACCCTGAGAACCATATAGACTGACGAAGGCCTGAGGGAGACCTAGTTCCTACCACGGAGAAGGGATGAAAGGCGGGGAGACCTGGTCTCTGCACAGGGCAGGACCAGACAGTGAGACTGGAAGGCAGCAAGGCAGGCCTTATCCTTTGTCAGCTACTGGACCTCTGAGCTACATAAATCTCCAATAAACTACAAGGGTTTTTTTGTTTTGTTGTTGGCTTTGTTTTTTGGTTTTGCTTTGGTTTTGCCCTACTGGGGATGGAACGCAGGTCCTCACACAGGCTACACAAGTGCTCTACCACTGAGCTACATCCCAGTCCTTTCTAAATATTCTTATTGAAGCAGGGTCTCACTAAGTTGCTGAGGCTAGCCTCAAGCTTGAGAACCTCTAGCCTCAGCCTCCTGAGTAGGTGGGTTTACAGGCGTACAGAAAGTCAGGTTAAAATGTTATCCTTTAACGACACCAACAACAGACCTCATTCCACTTACCGATGTCAGGAGTTGATGGCTCACTGGCCTCACTGACTGAGACACTGGCAGGAAGTCTGGTCTGCGAGGGGACTGGAAAGTGCCCAGAGATAATTCTTGACATTATTTCTTGTTCCACCCTGGAGGGATACAAGTTAAAGAATCCTAAATTTGGTTGAAATGCATAAAACGCTAGACATATCACCCTTAAGAATAACCTTTACCCAGAGGCACAAGTATTTACATGTGAAAGCAGTCATCAGAAAGGTGCATCTAGAAAGAAGAAAAAGAACAAATATTCTAAGAGGATAAACCCCAAAAAACAATCTCCCTGTAGGAAATACTTCATGAAGACAAATTAAATTAATATCTTTTCTATTAGTCTAATGAGAAGCTTAACAGGATCCTTAAATTCAAGGAGTTAGGTCAAAAACTATCTGGCACATCATGTACCTAAAAGGTGTGATTCCCACTCTGTGATCACAAGGGAAGATCAAAAATACTGTGAACATTTAAATTTAAATATTTATTACAGCAAAAGACACACTGCTATTAATCCCCCTTAAGAGACTCACCCTCACTTAGAACATATCCCATTATTCTCACCACCTTTTGAAGCAGTTCTGAAGTCCTCTTTCATGAGTGTCCTTACAAAGTATGATCAAAAACTGAAGGAATGCTGCTGCCGGTGTCACCCACCGGAAAGGCAGGCTCATAAAAACATTATAGTGTGTCTTTGTCCACCTCATGCACCAGATCTGGCACTGTAAGCCTTCTGACTCTTCTCCAAAATTAAAATGACCATGGAAGATAAATATTTTTAATTAATTAAGGACATCAAGGCAGCCATGACAGTGTAACTAAAGACACTCACAAAAGGGGACTTCCAGAGCTGCGTCAAGAATGGCAAGAACCATAGGATAAGTGTATGCCAAGTGAGAGGGAGTATTTTGAGAGAGTTTAATGGCAATTTGTCTTTTACTACAGTAATTGTTTTATTTAAAAATGCAGTACTTTCAAGCACACCTCATATAAAACCCTATTACAGTATGTCAGAGCTAGGAAAAAATTCCCCAGCTGCATTCTCAAGGAAATAAATATATCGACTAAAATATAGGGTAGTTTTCTTCTAAAAAGGTTTTTAAAAATTATTTCCAAGGTCATTTTCAGCAAGGGGAAGAGAAAGGGAAAAGGAGAAAGAATAGATTTTCTTTTGTACATTTCTCTAGAATAGTTAATAGACTTCTTATAAATTACCATATAAAAGATAGACATCATTGTAGAAAATTCAGAAAATATATGCCAGGCATGGTGGTACACACCTAGAATCCCAGCACTTGAGAGCTGAGGCAGGAGGCCTGCCACGGCAACATAGTGAGTTCAAGGCCAGCCTGAATCATACAGTAAGGCGCTATCTCCCTTGCCCCCAAAAAAGAAAAGAAAAAGAAAATCTAGAAACTATATAAAAGTCTCTTTAATTTGATAAGGCTAATGCATAACTTAGATTCAGGGATAAACACAGTTAACAATTTGATGTACATGTTTCCAAACTTTCAATCTGTGTACATTTATTTTTGAGTAAGGCCTTAGAAACAGATTGTTAGATCCACTGTTAGTATCCTACTTCATATCCTACTCCATATCCATAAGCATATTATTAATATCTTTCAGTATCATAAAATACTCTTCCAGATCTAAATTTAATAACAATTCCTATTTAGTTGTTTCATTTCTTCCTCAGCTTCCTTAAGATTTCTCACAAGTAAAAGCAGGGATATAATGAGATTCTTCTCCTACTCACATGCACATAAACAACTGAGTATTAGACTTACTAATGTAGACGTATAACAAACTTACATCAGTGCCTTGTTTTTAGTGCTAGGTATTTTATGGTCTAACAGCAGAATCCTAAGTATTTCCTTAGGATAAATTTCAGAAAGTGAATCACTAGACTAACGAACAGCACACTGGTAAGGCTTGAGACTCAACAGCAGCCTCTGCCACAGCAGCGAGCCTAAGCACAAGTACTCAAGGACAAAAACCAATGCCTCCAACAAGTAGTTCCCAGGGACTCTAGCAAAGGATACATTCAATAAACAAAGGAAGACAAGGAAGATTTTCACCTAAAATCATACTTTTAATTTATGTTACTGTGATTCTGTTCACACCAACACCACTGTAAACTCACCACTGAATTAAGTGATTTTCTAATGTTTCTTTTCTCTCGATTACTTTATCCAGAATATCAGCAGTGGGCTGAGAAGTTGAAACAACTGGTGGGAATGGAGGACCATTATATCTTGTGGAAGCAACTTTAACGCTTCTGTTAAACTCCAGCATTGGTTCAGAGCATTCTGGAATTTCATCACATTTCTCCTCTTCCTGGTAATAACAGAAACAAAACTATTACATTCGTGTCTGTTCAACATTTACCGAGTGCCACATGTAGCAGGGAACTTAGCTAGGTGAGTGAACTAACCAACACTTCTAAATTACTCAAGAGCATCTCTAATTAGGTGGTATCACATTAATTACAACATACAGTACACATCAATTATATGTATCATATTGAAGAAGAATTAATTAATTTTACAATCACTTTATCCTTTTAAAACCCAGTCCTGGGGTACAGTAACAACCCCTTGGTACAGCACTTGCCTAGCACACACAAGGACCTGGGTCCCACACCCAGCACTACCTACGCTCGTGCGCGCACACACAAATAAAAAAGAAACCCAATATCCATCATATATAAAGTCATAAAACAAATTAGAAAACTTAATTATTCCTACATAAAACATTATTAACATAAACATTAAATTTAACAGACGCTTGCTGTTTGCTCTTGCAAAACACTATAACTTACATTAAAAATGCAGTTAGGACACTTTATTCATTCTTTGTATCATCTTTTCATGGTAAAAACAGTAATATTTGAAATTTCAAAACATTACAAAAAGTGATAGTTTTTAAAAGTAAACAAAATAGTTCCCAGGTACTATATGTTGTATATAAATAACATGAATTTTTTGGTCTACTCTTTAACTTCAACAGTTACCAACTGATGGGCAGCTCGCTGTCACCAAGACTAAGCAAATCAGAGACATCACCTTACCTATTATTCAATACGCGTCTTTAAAAAGTTCAGTCTCCTTAATGGCCCATGAAAAAATGAAGCCCCCCGGGCGTGGTGGCACATGCCTATAATCCCAGCACTCTGGAGGCTGAGGCAGGAGAATCCTTGCAAGTTCGAGACCAGCCTGGGCTACAAAGTGAGCCCAAGGCCAGCCTGCACTGCATAGGAAGACCCTGTCTCAAAAAGACAAAAAAATGAAGCCCACAGCTATCCCATGTAGAGTTTGAGTCAGAGTCCTTGTCCTTAAACTCCAAATCCACTGTGAGTTCTACAAATGATCCTGTCACTCACACACCAAATACACAGGTTCACAAGGAGCTTCACTAGGCTTTAGGGATATAAAGATAAATAAACTTCCTGCTTTAAAACACTCATGTGGCACCCATCTGATACTCATATGACAAGACGTACAGAAGAACAAATACTGTTAATATATTGCATAACTGCAAATTCTAAAGGATTTAATTTCTATGGTCAGTCATTACCAAGGCTTTCTGAATGAAGTTTCTCATTTGCGTCGGACATGACCATAAAAAAATTTCCCACTAGGTTTTCTGTCTGCTACCTTGTTAGCAATCAACCTGTTGGGAACCTTCCATTGAGGAGGTGAACACTGTGCAATATTATTTACAACAGCCAAATTTAGAATTCTTACACTTACTACAAGGCCTGCTTACTTTCTGGAGGCTTACTTTCCCTAGTTAATTCTTACGCTTACTACAAGCACGCTTAGATCTCTGGAGACTTACTTTCCCTAGTTAATCTACACTGTTACCCTTCTTAGTTCCTAACCAGTTTATAAGTAGAGAACCTAGCCTGCCTCCAGAACTCACTGATGACTATATAATTACTTTTATATTCTCACGTAGAGCAGGTAGAATGACTGGAGTAAGCATCAGTTCTTTTTAAAAGGGCTATCTTGAAGACAAAGAACTTCATTAAAGTGACCTTGATGAGTATTAAAGAAATTACATGTGAAATTCCTTAAATAAAAATATTTAACTAAAAAACAGATTTAATGTCTAATTAACAAAAGTAGTTCTTAGCTCCAAAACTCAAACAATATGAAAACATATCTTCCCTGAACACTGCTGATATTAATAATCAAGTCGTTTCTATGGTCTATGATCATTCCTTATAGTTTTTGTACTTTACTTCCTCCTCCTTTTCCCTCCATTTCTTATTTCTATTATGTCTGTAACTCTGTCTTAAATAGGGGATCTTCCTTGGATTCTGAAAAATGTATCTATCAGAATTTTGATTCTGTATCTGTCAGAATTCTGTATTTGTGATCCCGGTACCATCACAATTTTTTTCTCAATATAAACTGCCATTACTGCAAGGGATAAATACTATCAGAGTGAAGAAATGACTGATGAGGTAGAAAACAAAAAAAGAAAAAAAGAAAGCAGGAAACAGGAAAAAGTCTAGGTGGGAAACAAACATCATTATTTGAATGAAATGAATGATAGAGATGAAGACAACAATGTACTATAGAATAATAACATCACAATGTTTTAAAATAAAAGTATACTTTAACTTAAAAGTAAAAGCAACTCTCTCAAAGTGCTGTAACACAATATTGATAATCTAAAGATATTCAACCACTGAGAAAAGTCCTAGCCGAAAATTTTTCATGGATTCAAAGCTTTGTTACCTGAATAACATCAATTACTTCATCAAAGTTAGTTCCTGGAAACTTCACCTCTTCTTCATCTACCTTCATAAATTCTGGAGTCTAAGAAAGTATTTTAAGAAAATTTTTATTGTGCTTAACTTTTAAAATTTACATATATTTATCATATTTTCACATATAGCATAGACTTGTAATTATACATCACTTTTTATTTTACTATCCTATTCAGAATCAATTAATTAGTAAATGAAATAAAAGTTTGTACTTAAACCATTAGGTTATCATTTCAATAGCTATTAGAAATTCAATTTTATGGGCCAGGGATGTAGCTCAGTGGCACAAGCACCTGCCTGGCAAATGCAAGGTCCTGAGTTGGATTCCCAGTACCAAAAAAAGAAATTCAATTTAGCTATAAGAAATTCAGTCTTCATATTTAGAAGACTCCTTCAACAAATGCAGTGTAAATCAATGAATCAACAGATAGATAAAAGTGACTTTTCTCTATAGTTAAAATAAATAGGCAGGCATGATGGCTCACGCCTATAACTCCCAACACTTGGGAGGCTGAGGCAGGAGGACTACTGTGAGTTCAAGGCCAGCCTAGAATACATAGCGAAACCCTGTCTCAAAAAAACAAATAAATAAAATAAAGAAGACTGTTTAGGGCTGGGGCTATAGCTTAGTGGCATAGTGCTTGCCTGGCAAGCATGAGGTCATGAGTTATATTCCTGGTGCCAAAAAAAAAAAAAAAAGAATGTTCACAGCTATAGATATATATACACTTACACAAACTCACAAATACAGAATTCTGATAGATACAGAATCAAAATTCTGACAGATACAGAATCAAATATGTCTGAAATATAAAAGTCATTTCTTAAATTTAACATCCGGATCTCACTAAAGATGCAGTAACAAAATCCTCAACAGCCTCTCACTGAAAGCAGAATGATAAAGTAAAAAAAAAATACATATTGTTATATGTCTCAATAAACTTACGGCAAAAAAAAAACAAAAAACAACTTATTCGTTAAAATTTAAATTAGATGGGCCAGGAATACAGCTCAGTGGCCCAACGCCTGCCTGTCAAGCACAAGGTCATGAGTTTGATTCCCAGTATGAAAAATAAATAAATAAAATTTAAATTAGGTACAGATACCACATAAGGTCAGTTCTATTTTATCATTTGTAATCATGAGAGGGTATTAGTATTTTTCCTCTCTTTAAAGCTATCCTCCATGATCAAATTTGCTTACAATAACTAAAATGTGGAGTAAGTTACACTATTATTTTGCTTCGTACTAAAACCGTAACTTCATTATTCAGAAGCAAATAAATACTAGGAGTAAATGCATAGTTTTGCATCATGGTAACAGTCTGATGATGACAGTAACAACCAAAGCATGAACTCTAGTTGTCACTAAAAAATTCACGATCAGGAAGCTTACAATTCCTATGCAAATAAGAGTCCTTACAAAAGAAAAATTCTTTCTTCACATATTGGAATCACAACTTAAGTTACCAAAAACTTACAGTAAGGATTATCACTTTCTGAATATTTATACCTTGCAGGATCTGAAGCAGACTTTCTTTTTCAAGTTCATAAACAATCTGAGATTCACTGTGAACCTTTTCCTCAAAACCTAAATTACTAAAACACATTTCCAGTATAGTGGAAAGCTTTGCACAGAATAACATTAAACTGTACAGTCATTACTTCCTGAAATGAAGACAGAACTCTATACCAGACCTGTATGCACGTCCGCAGCGGAGGAAGAGGTGCTCCCTCGGGACTGGGCAGAGGCGAGCTGGCAGAGGTACTGCCGTTTAAAGGACTATCAATGTCCACATTGGGTAATACCTGCAACAGAACATAGTGTCCAGCTTTTTCTTTAGTATTCCTTAAGTATCTGTCAAAATTCAAACAGCAAAACATGCCCTTTGACTTTTTATTGTAAAACCAATGGCTAACAGATTCTCTCAATTATAAAGAAAGTTTTACAAAATTTAACGCTCTCTTAAAGAGCCGAGTGCTATGGTGTACTGCTGTAATCTCAGTGCTTGGAAGACTGAGACAGGAGGATTGCTGTGAGTTCGAAGCCAGCCTGAGCTATACCGTGAGCTCAAGGCCAGCCTCAGCTACACAGTGAGACCTAACCAAAAAATTTAAAAAAAAAAAAAAACCCTATCTTAAGATAACTTCTTTTTCACTACTATATGCTCTGCATTTTTACTACCCACTTGGGCATAAATAAATCTAAAAATCTGAAACAGTTTTCATTTTCAATTTTTCATTATTTTTAGACCTGAAGCACTTTACAAAGGACTTATAGACCTCATTTTTAAATAATTATGTAATATTTCAACAGCCTGAGTAACCTAGAAATTGGTGACAACGGGGAGAGGGGCTGGGGATGCAGCTCAGTAGTACTATACTCCTGGGTCAATCCCCAGTACCATTAAGAACTTTATATACATTCATGTCCTATTTAATTGTAATTAGTAAACAGGGTTTTGCTATTTTTATACAAAGATCACCACCAAAAAAAAAAAAAACTTTTCCATGCAGAGTTTTCTTCTTAAACTTTGAACAATTTCGTTACATTAGTAGATTAGGAGAGAGTGAGAGGCACGGGAACCGAAGGGTGCGCGAGAAGCCGAAGGGAAGCGTGTGTGCCGCTTCTCCCCGCAGCTCTCCCCGGGCCCAGCCACCGTACCTCGGGCCAGGTGAGCGCCGCCAGGGCAGCGCCGCCAGGGACGCAAGGATCGCGGGGCACCCCTCCCCCGCATCCCCGTCCCTTAGGGGGCCGCCGGCTGGATGTCGCTGCAAATCGTCAGCCTCGAGGACATTCTTGATTGACTCTGTGGTCCCAATCCGCTGCCCTCCCCACCGTATCGCGGGACCCCCGCTCCGGCCCCAGGATGCACAATGTGATTAACAGGGTGAAGGGAAAGGCGCTGGAAGCTGCCGAGTACCTGACCCCGGGGCTCAAGGAATCAAAATTTAAGGAAACAGGTGTAATCACCCCAGAAGAGTTTGTGGCAGCTGGAGATCACTTAGTCCACCACTGTCCAACATGCAATGGGCAACAGGAGAGGAATTAAAAGTGAAGGCATACCTACCAACAGGCAAACAATTTCTGATAACCAGAAATGTGCCATGCTACAAACGCTGCAAACTGATGGAACATTCAAATGAATTGGACGCTATCATTGAAGAAGATGATGGTGATGGGGGATGGGTAGATACATATCACAACACAGGTATTACAGGGATAAATGAAGCAGTTAAGGAGATTACATTGGAAAACAAGGACAGTATAAAACTCCAAGACTGCCCAGCAACGTGTGAAGAGGAAGAAGAGGAAGAAGAGGAAGATGAAGGAGAAGCTGCAGACACGGAAGAATATGAAGAAAGTGGATTGTTCGAAACAGATGAGGAGGGGGCTGGGGATTTAGCTCAAGAAACAGATGAGGCTACTCTAGACACAAGGAAAACAGTAGAAGCTTGTAAAGCTAAAACTGACGCAGGAGGTGAAGATGCTATTTTACAGACCAGAACTTACAACTTATACATCACTTATGATAGATGTTACCAGACACCACGGCTATGGCTGTTTGGCTATGATGAGCAACGGCAACCTTTAACAGTTGAGCACACGTATGAAGACATCAGTCAAGATCACGTGAAGAAAACAGTGACCACTGAAAATCACCCTCATCTCCCACCACCTCCTATGTGTCCCGTTAACTCATGCAGGCATGCTGAAGTGATGAAGAAAATCACTAAGACAGTTGCAGAAGGAGGGAGAGAGCTTGGTGTTCATATGTATCTTCTAATTTTTTTGAAATTTGTACAAGTTGTCATTCAACAGTAGAATATGACTGCACAAGACATTTCACAATGTAATGAAGAGAACATAGAATCTACCCTAATTATTGATTCTGATTTTTAAAGAATTAACCCATAGATGTGACCATTGACCATATTTACCAATATGTACAATTTCTCTAATAAAGGGAGTTATATGTTTATGCAGTACATACAAAAAAGTAGATTAATTTCATGGAGCATATATATTTAATATCCCTGTAATTACTGGCAAAATACAATCCGAACAATCTCTATTTCCATCATCAAAAACATAACTAATTCTACATTTTATCCAACCATCAACCAAAATTAGATAATTAAGATCATTTCTGCAATAACAGCTACTAGCAAAATTTAATTTGCCTGATGGTAAACTATATTTTCTCTTTTTTGTTGACACTCATTTTTGCCCTTTGACTATTTCTGGACTTACATCTATATTCCCTCGCATATTGTTTTTCTTTAAGAATTTTTAACAAACCAAGTTTCAGATTTTATAGATGTAAGGCTGTCTACTTTTCTATTGTATCTAAATTTTCTTCTCTTGTATCTAGACTTAGTTTCCATTCTGATTTTTTAAAATTCCATACAATTATCTTCTAATTTCTCTTTTTTACATTGTGTAGTTGTATGTTAGCCTATTTGGAACTTATCTGCTATTCAGCAGGAATTCAGAGAAATTTATTTCACATTGTCAAACCATGACATATAGTACTTCATTTACATAAATTCTACTTCCCACTGATTTATAAAAACTCTAATATACTACATTCTTTTTTTGTTTTGTTTTGTTTTCAGATAGGGTCTCACTGTATAGTTCAGGGTGCCCCTGAATTCACTATGTATCCCGGGCTGGCCTCAAACTTGTGGCAATCCTCCTGCCTCAGCCTCACAAGTCCTGGAATTACAGGCATGCATCACCACACCCAGCTATAGTACATTCTTTTTAAATTACAAGACTAATTCTGAAATTCTGTTATATTACACCAGAAGCCAAATCCTTAATTTTCCTAAGCCCTTTGTTCTTTCAGATATCAAAATCTGCTCTTAATGTTCTAATACTATATTAAGCCAAAGATTTTTTTCTTCAAAATTTTCTGGTCATGAAAAGATAGTTTCTTTAATAAATGGTGCTGGAAAAACTGGATATCATGTAGAAGATTAAATTTAGACCCGTATCTCTCACCATGTACTAAATTATAATAAAAATGGATCAAACATCTAAATGATAAAATATAAACAATATGCTAGAAGATAAAATATGTAAAACTCTTGAAGACACAGGAATAATAGGTAAGGACTTTCTGAGGAGAACCCTAATTGCACAAGAAATAACAACAAGAATCAATAAATGGGCTGGCCATGATGGCACACACCTATAATCCCAGCCCTCAGGAGGCTGAGACAGGAAGATCACTGAGAGTTAAAGGCCAGCCTGAATTGTATACATTGTGAGACCCTGTCTCAAAAAGACAAAAAAAAAAAAAATTCAGTAAATGGGATATCATATTTAGAAGCTTCTGCAGCCAGCCATGTTGGTACATGTCTATAATCCCAGGAGGCTGAAGCAGGAGCAATGTAGCAAGTTCAAGACCAGTCTGGACTACACAGTGAGTTCAAGGCCAGCCTGAACTCCACTGTGAGATCCTCCCTCTGTCTTTCTTTCTCTCTCTCTCCCTCTCTCTCTCCTCCCTCCACACACACACTCACACTCACACACACAAAATCCTTCTGCATAGCAAAGGGAACAATCGACAGAGTGAAGATACAACTTACAGAATGTAGAAAAAGGGGGCTGGGGATTTAGCTCAGCGGCAAAGCACCTGCCTGGCAAGCGCAAGGTCGTGAGTTCGGTTCCTGGTACCGGAGAAAAACCAAAAAAAAAAAAAAAGAATGCGGAAAAAATTTTGTCCACTTCCTGAGACAGAGGAATAATATCTAGAACATATAAAGAGGGGGCTGGTGATTAGCTCAGCGGCATAGCACTCGCCTGGCAAGTGCAAGGTTGTGAGTTCGATTCCCGGTACCAGAAAAAAAAAAGAACATATGAAGAGTTCAAAAAAACTATACCCCTACCCAAGAATAAAAGACTCAGTCAAAAATGGGCAAGTGAAATGAATAGACACATCTCAAACGAAGTACAAATGGCCAATAAATACAGGAAAAAACATTCAACATCTCCAGCCTTTAAGAAATACAAATCAGAACACTGAAATTCCTTCTTACTCCTAAAGAATGGCAATCATCAAGAAATCAAATAATAACAAATGCTAGAGAGCTGTACAGAAAAACGAACCCTTCTACATTGATGTGAATGTAAAGTAATGTAGCTACTATGGAAATCAATGTGGAGATTCCTCAAAAAACTAAAAATAGAAATTCCATTTGACCCAGCTATTCTCCTTCTAGGTATCTTCCCAAAAGTTAAAAACATCCTATTACAATAATACATGCACACCCATGCTTTTTAGCAGCACAATTCATGACAGCTACATCTTCAAAATAGCCTGTATGTCCACCAAAAGATAGATGGTAGAGAAGGTGGTATTATCCTCAATGGAGCACTACTCTGCCATAAAGAAGGATAAACTGGAGTCATATATAGGAAAATGGATGCACCTTGAGACGATAATGTTAACTGAAATAAATCAGACACACTAGTTTAAATAGCACTTGGTTTCCCTTATAGGAGAAATCCAAATACTTTTTTTTTGTGTCTTTTTGAGACAGGGTCTCACTATGCAGTTGAGGCTGGTCTTGAGCTCACTTTGTAGCCCAGGCTGGTCTTGAACTTGCAATGAGCCTCCTGCCTCAGCCTTCCAAGTGTTGGGATTACATGCATACACCACCACACCTGGCATAAGAGAAATCTAAATATTACAAGAGCAAAATAAAAGATAATAGGAAATGGGGAGATGGATTTTTTTGTCAAAAAGAAGGGGACCAAGAGAGTGGAGGGAGGGAGGGAAGGACATGAAAAAATAATTAATGTGTTGTGCACACGTACCAACTCCCCATGTGCATGCAATCATTATGTACTGCAAACACATACTAATAAAAAAATTAAATAGAATATATTGAAAAAATAAAAATGTTCAAATTCTTACAACTTTTGCTCTGGTCATGCAACCTGGCTTACCTGCACAGTGAGCTGAGGAGGACTCTTCTTTTCTGACTTCATTTCTATCACTGCTATGTTAGGTCTCCTGACTCCGGGCTCTCCTTTTCGCGATGCTGGAGGAATGGACGTGGTCACAGTGACAGGGTGTGGCTTGTGCACCATGACTCCCGCGGGTGGTAGTGAATCGCTATTACTTTGGGTTTGTCCTAAGAAGTTTAGGAGAGAAAAATGAGTCTACTTCCACTGGTTCAGAAAATAAGGGAAAAATCTAACTACTGTCTGCAGCTCTCCGGCTGCTTCCACGGGTGGAAGGAGAGCAGCTTCTCCAGCCACCTCTGCCCATCACCAGCACTGCCAGCACACTCCCGGGGCCGCTCGGCAGTGCTGGCAGGCACGAGGACCTACTTGATGGGACCATTGCATGTAGACTATCAAATTTTACCCTCAAAAGAAAGGCTCTGAGATACTTCTATTCTCTTCTATTCTTTCTATTCTATTTTATTATATTTTTTAGACAGAGTCTTCCTATGTAATTCAGGCTGGTCTTGAGCTCACTTTGTAGCCCAGGCTGGTCTCAAACTTGCAATGATCCTCCTGCCTCAGCTTCCCAAGTGCTGGGATTATAAGCGTGCACCACCATGCCCAGCTTCCACATTTACAAAAGCCCAAAAACCTTGTTGGTTTCATTTCAAAGTCCCACTTCTTTTCCACATTTCAAAGACAGAAAATACAGCCTACTTTTTAAACCACAATCTCTACAGCCAGACTACTTGAGTTTAAATCCCAAGTTCACTTTAGCTGTGTGACAAATTACTACGTAAGTAACAAATTACTACTTAAATTTCTTTGTGACTCAGGTTTATTTTAATATAAAATTGGTATATTACCAACTTTACATGGTTAAATCAGAGAACATATATATAAAGTGCTTAGGCTTTAAAAATATTAACTGTTTGTATTACTAAAAGGCATGTTTAAACACACTTTAGCCACCAAATTGACATGTCATTAACCCACAATATCCAACCTAAAAAAATATTTTATGTTTAAAAATTCATATTTAAATCATATCAAAAGTAAAGGAAAATAGCAATGACAATGAAAAAGTTAATTCAAACTGAAGTGCTAGTGTGAGGGCAAAAATGATTTGTTCAGTTTTTAACATGGTGAGTGAACAAACCTCAAATTAAGTAAAACCAAACACTGACTTGAAATACAACTAACATTTACCTACCACAGGATAGCTCAAAAGTACGTAAAAGCAACTTAAAGTACTTCCTCTAAGACAGGACAATCCTAACAAGCCAACAAAACTTCTCAAAGTCTTGAATTGTTATAAACATTGATGATATGTCTAAACATATTTCAGTTTCATTTCATCTATAACAATGTACTATTAAATACCAAAGAACATTTCCTGTGGGCAAAAATATAGCAGAAACCCATCATTTCGGAGACTGAGCCAGCTGAGGCCCTCCCTGCACACACAAAGTTGGTAACTGGTGTGTCAGCACTACTCTGTGAGTTTTACTACTACTGGTAAGAAATTAAAATTTACCCTACGTATTTTATTAGTTCTTACCTAAAAGAATTGCCATAGGAATTAGATGACCTTCCAGAGTACCTGAAAACGTAGGCATTTCTCTGCTTGGGCTGAACAGATACTGCTGCTCACTGTGAGGTAGGGCAGTAATGGACTGTTGCATTTTAGAGTCTGTCTTTGTAGGTTTTGTTGCATGAAAGTCAGTTTGTGTTCGTATTGACTTGACTTTAGTGCCTATAATGATCACAGAAATACTAGCATCAACATCACCCACTAGGGTAAATATCATAAACTGTATGTTTTATTAAGTATTATCAATAGCACGTATAGATAACCTGACACCCTATCTTTTTTACCTTCTATGATCACCTAAGCTTTGGAAAGGAAAGAGAACTAAAGCAACTGCCACAGCTACAAGCTCTAGAAAGTATAAGAGAGGAAACTGGCTGGTGGCTATTTAATGGTTACTCACTGTCAGAGCAGCTCACTGACTGCTGGAGTGTAAGCTGAGAAATGTCCAAACATAAAAAAAAAACCTCAGTATTTAATTAAGTTACAATAAATGTACCACTGAAATGGTAGATGTGAGGCAAAACAGGAGGTGATATAGGAGGATATTTTAAATTGGGTACAAAAGCAACATAAACAAAAAAAGTTCACCTTCGCTACGTAAAGCTCCATGAGAACAAACAAAAATGCACAATGCCATAAACCCTTCACGGTAATAAACAGCGTGGGGCTGAGCTGCCTCTTCACAGGGACTGGATGGACTAAAGCAGACATTTTCCTCGATTCTAATTCAGATCATGCAAGACTCATCACCTAAATAAAAATATTGTCATGCTTTATCTGAAGACACCATCTAATCCTAAAATTCTTCCCACTTACTCTTACCCTCTGCCTTCATTTTTAATCTATTTTTTGTATTTCTCCTGGAAAAAAATTATTTTTCCAATCTTAGGCAGTATAGTTTGAACTGTACTCATACATCATAAATAAATAAATACCAAATAAAACTACTTCATTTTACTTAATGTATTAAACTGATAGCATTTTAAAATGAAGTAAAACACACAAAGTTAGGCTCCTTACCTTTAACTTGCTCTATTACTTTTGGTCTCTGTGGTTTGGACTTCAGAGCTGTAGAATTAAACCTGAGGTACGGGCCTCTCTTCAGCGTGCTGCGATGGCCCTGATAAACTGCTTTTCCATATACTTGGGACATGTGATCCTCATCTTGTATCACTGTGGATGATTTCAAAGGCCCCTATTTATACAAAATTATTAGACTCAGCATGAAAGTAGACATCAGCCCCTTATCTCATTTTTCTGAAGCCTGCTGTGCTAATTTAAGTACTAGAGTAAGAATGATCAAGTCAGAAAAATCCTCTATCTTAAAGAGCCCCTAAATTCTGGATATAGCTTTCAAATATGAGTTTTGTTTATTTATTTATTTATTTCTGTTTTTTGAGACAGGGTCTGACCATGTAGTTCAGGCTGGCCTTGAACTAGTGGTGATCCTCCTGCCTCAGCCTCCCAACTGCTGCAATTACAGGCATCTACCACCCGGCCTGGCTCCCAAACATGAGTTTTAAAATGCAAAAAATGTAAATATAAAAATCATCCACCTATAAAACATGAGTTTTCACACTACTAGTTATATTTTTAGTATAAAAAAAGTTTAAACTCATTTTACATTTAACACATATTTACTGTATTCAAGAATAAAAAATATAATAAACCTAGTCTTCATATGACTTAACACTAAACTTTCCTGACCCTACTTTCGATCTTAACCTACATACCTCACAAAGGCAGCATTTACTGAGCATTCACTAAGTGCCAAGCACTGAATTGGACGTGTTACTAATCTGCTCAACAATCTATGTTTGGCACTAGAACAGTCAAAAATTCCCTGCACAGCACCTAGAACTATGTTGCACTCAACTAGACCCCAAATATAAATCTGTTAAACTAGTTAGCCACAAAACATACCCCCCACACACACACACACACACACACGGAAATGAAACATGGTTTTGAGTACCACAAACTAGACAATCTAGTTTTGGGATTGGATGATCCCTAGTTATACCTGCAGTAACTGTAATATTATGCTTCTAAACTGAGATCTACATTTGGTCATGGTGGCATGCACCTATAATCCTAGCTTCTTGAAAGGCTGAAGCAGGAAGGCAGCTTAAACCTGGAAATTTGGAGCCAGCCTTGGCAAACCTCCCTCCTCTTCTTTTGGTCTTTTTGAGACAGGTTTCACCATACGGTCCAGGCTGGCCTTGAACTCACTTTGTAGCCCAGACTGGCCTCAAACTTGTAGCTATCCTCTTGCCTCAGCCTCCTGTGTGATGGAATTACAAGCATGCACCACCAGACCTGGCTATTTTTTTTAACACCCTGTCTCTTAAAATAAAACAGAACAAAAACAAAGTATGAGATCTCAGGAAAAAACTACAGGTTTCATGCAATGGTTTCCACAGTATGGATCCAAAATCTTAAATATCAGTAATGTAAAAATACATTTGCATACACCTTTAAAAACATCTTCATATTAACTTCACTATATTGAAATTAAAGGAAATGATCAATCATAATGCAACATTTATGTCATAAAACCAGATTAGGGTCTTACTTCTTTTCTCTCTTTCTGTAAACTGGAAGTAGCCATGCTCCTCATAGATGGACTTCTGAGATAATCCTCTACTTGTTTTTGAGGTTTTCTTAGAATTACAGATTTATTTACAGTTTTGTCTTGTTTGTTGACTTTCATATCTTTACTCATATTCTGTGCTTTCTTAGTCCTTTGATTCTTCTGATCAAATCTCCTTTGTTCATAATCTTTTCTTGCCAGTTCATCCTTAAGTTAACCAAAATTAAAATTACTTTAAATCTGTCCAAGCAGTAATGCTTTCAATTTTTTTTTTGGTACCGGGAATCAAACTCAGGACCTTGCACTTGCCAGGCAGGCACTTAAGCAATTGAGCTATATCCCTGGCCCTTCAAAACCAGCTGAATTTATTTTTTTTTCTGGTATAAAAATATAGTTTAGCAGTTGTAAAATGCTTTAAAAATAAGAGATATTGGCTTATATGTGAATATAATTCCCTAGAAGAATAAAAAGCTGAAAACAGTATTTTACGCAGTAGGGTAAATACGAAATAGCAGATGAAGTACAGAGGTAGAACAACTTTTCATTAGAAGTTTTTTTAAAATGTTTCGTTACTTTAACTATATGAGTTTAATAACTTTTAAAAATTAAATTAAAAAATAAATTTTAAAAAAGGAAACAGCAAAGTGTTTTGGTCACACCCATAATACCAACTACTCTGGAGACTAAGGCAGACTGATTCTTACTTTAATGCTAACCTGGGCAACTTAATGAGACACTGTTTAAAAATAAAATTTAAAAAATACTTGGGATATAGCTCGGTGGTAGGGCACTTGCCTAGCATGTGCAAGGCCCAGGGATCAATCCTCAGTACCAAATAAATAATGATGATAATGATAATAAAGTTTTAATATGCTGACATAAATATTTATAAATGAGAACTATTTGAAGGTTTAAACAAACATACTTTATATGGAATTCATAGTAATAGAGGGACATACATGGGTAACTGGCTACAAAGTAAGAATTAGCCTCCCAATTTTCACTCTTAGCTCTTTTCTGATACATCTTGCAATACCTCGTATAAATTCTTCCTGACTGAATTATAGATATAGATTCCTAAGAGACAAAGTTTAAAAGATTATTTCCATATGTGTTGCTAGAGAAATAGAAATGGCACTTCACCTTACTGCCATAGTGATAAGCACCAAAGCACATCTTAGAGTCAGCAAAACACTTCATCACTGTCTCAGACAAAATAGCAGGCTACCCGGCCTAGTCCTATTCCTTCAAACTCAGCAACCTTGATGGATTTTTTTGTAAATTATTACCCTCTAATAAAAATTCCAGAGATCTGCAATGCTGAAGTCTGAAGATGTACTATGTCCTTCAGGGGTGTGAGAAAGAGGGTTTTGCCATCCAGAATGGACTTTTGTACCTTCAATAACTGTTACGGTTGATACACTGCGTCAACTTGAGGAGTCTAGAAGCTTAACTAAGTAACTCAGCAGTTCTACATCCTGGGGTGAAAAGGACATGCCCTTCCTGCTCTAGGATGTTGTTCACTGTGTCAACTTAGGAAGTTTAAAAGTTCAACTAAGTGATGGGGGAGGCAGGGTCCTTACTCCGTGAACATCCTCAGCTTGAGGAAGAAGAGCGCACAGAGATGGGGTGCGTGTGGCCGGTATACAATGTGAGGAGGGAAAAGAGCTCCCTCCCTCTTTTTGCTCTTGCTGCTTTTGCTCTCGTGTCACCTTGGACTGTTCCCCCTGTGCCATGCCACCCTGACTTGGAGCCAGCTGATTACAGACTGAAACATCCACAAACTGTGAGCTAAATAAATCTTTGCTTCCTTAACTTGGGGCACTGGGTATTTTGTCTCAGCAACAAGAGAAAAATAACCAAGACAAAAACCTTGGAAATTAAATTTTTTTTCCTTTTAACTAACCTTAGTGTTTTTATTTTAGCAAGCCAATGCTTCTAAATTGCTGTCTTGAAAGATCTTTCCAAGTATAAATCTTTTCTAAACAGTTTTGCTAAATTTTCTTTCAAATTAATCACATTATTACTACTATCCAACAATTTGCCACGTAAAAGTCGCAGTATGAAATAAAGCACTACTTACAATAAAGTAAAAATAAAAACAAAATGAAATTAAAAATATTAAGTGAACTTATATGTAAGAAGTACTTTGAATGGAAATATAAATTGGAACAAAAATTATATTCCCAGAATGCACTTAACCTTTTAGTTTTTTTCTAAGACATACCTGAATTTCCGCAGAAATAACTTTAATCCACTCATCTACTGTCTTTCTGATCCTAATTTTCTCTGACATCTCTCTACAAAAGAGAAAAAGAAATTTTCTTTTTTTTTTTTTTGAGACAGGGTCTTACTATGTAGTGCAGGCTGGCCTTAAACTCATTTATGTGGCCCAGGCTGGCCTTAAACTCATGGCAATTCTCCCACTTCAGCCTCCCAAGTACTGGGATTACAGGCGTGTGGCACCACGCCCAGCAGGAATTTTCTTGAATTCCCACTTAATGTCCTGAGAATAGAACCTGGATCAAATATTGTTACCTAGTTTTAAATCGACTATGTAGCACAGTGTCCTTCTAAATAGGAAAAAATGAACAAGATTAATTTTCATCAAATATTTAAAGTATAAATATTTGGAAAGAATCATAGAAGATATACATATACCAGCTCCCCACAAGGAATGTAACCATTATGTAATACGAACATGTACAAATAAATAAAAACTGAAAAAAAGTCTATTGCTTGCTTTTGCTGCCTTCTGTTATGACATGGACATTCTGCTCTACAATGCCCCTTTGCCACCCACCCTGCCTTGGAGTCAGCCAGTTATGGACTGAAACCTCTACAAACTGTGAGCAGAAATAAAACTTTCCTCCTTTAAAAAAAAAAAAAAAAAAAAAAGATGTGTAGTAATGACAGAAAAAATTAAAAAGAAATGTCCATCACTGAAAAGCATTACCATGTAACTCCGACTTTTTACCAAGTGCCGTACTTTCAAAGTCAATGAAGAACATTTTCTTAATATTAACACATATTCATGAAAGTGAAGTGGTTCACAACATGATAAAAGTAGAACTGGAGGCTTCATACATAACCTTGGGAAGCCAGCATCATTTCTTACCTACTGGTAGATAAAGCATTGATAAATGAATACATAGCAGCTCCGTCCTTTGCTCGAATAATAGCTTCCAGGTTTTCTTCAAGTACTTTTTTATTGTTTTGTACTCCTCTCAAAATTTTCTCAGCATCTTTCAGTACAGATCTCATTGTATTTGTTGTTTGAAGTTTAGCAGAATTCTGTGAAAAATCAGCAAGTCTCAAGATCATCAGAGATTCTTTTGGCTTAAAAAGCAAAAAAGTTACCATGTTAAACCCATACTGATTTTTTAACCCAGACAAGACGCATTACTCTTGTTGGACCCATACACTTTGCTAATATATCTTCAGTACTCAGTCTGACAAATTGCAAACAAATATTTGGCAATGAATGTTTAGAAGTACCGACATGAGCCAGGTGTGGGGGCACACACCTGTAATCCCAGAACTCTGGGAGGCTGAGGTAGGAAGACCCGAAGTTCAAGCTCAGCCCAGGCAACTTGGTGACTTCGTAAGATTGTCTCAAAATAACAAAAGGCTGGGAATGTAGCTGAGTGCCACTGCGGGGGCCAGGTGGAGGACATGCTAATATGAATGTTAAGTAAACAGAGATGGGGGATTCGTGGTAGCACTCAGTAGTCCAGTGCTAATGAGCGCTCTACTGCTAGAGGAAGTTAAAGTAAGCACCAGTTGCTTCTGAGTAGTATGACACTACTGTGCTCTGGCCCTCAGGCCCTTCCAGCTCTCTACCTCCTCTCCTTCTCCCCAGCTGGGAAGCTGGGAAGCCAAAGGCGGCCACGTGGCTTAGTCCTGGCCAGTGAGGGGTAAGGAGAAGTTAGCTGGTGAAGGTTTCTGACAAGCTTTGGTAAAACGAACAGATTTGGCAGCCTTTTTCAGTGTTTTAGTTCCATCTTCCCCCTGATTTCTGTCCCAGTACGTTTTTACTGCCTCGTCACTACTACTGTACTGATCGTCAATGTTGATACTACTCTTGCTTTACCTGCAGCACACCACTGGTTTCTTTCCTTTTCTGGCCAAGATCATGAAGAACATCGTTAGGCTTCTGTTTGGCCACATTAGCTGTCTCTTGCTCTTCAGAAGAAGGAAATCTTTGAGAAGACACAATTTCAAAGCTGCAAAAGATTAGAAAAAAGCTTCCAAAATTATTATAAATTCAGTAAGCTTTTTAGAGTTGTTCGCTTGTCAGACACAGGGTCTTGCTATGTAGTTCAGGCTGGCCTCGAACTTACTATGTAGCCCAGCTGGGCTGGAACCTGTGGTGATGCTCCCACCTCAAAACTCGCAAGTGCTGGGATTACAAGGGTGTGCCACCATGCCTGGGCAGCTCTATTCTTAACAAGATTCCTTCTGAAAATAAAAAACGACTGGTGATGTACCTCACTGGGAAGGCCCTGGGTTCAATCACCAGTACCACAAAAAGAAAAAAATTACCGTATGACCTCAACAGAGTATTTGAGTTGGCAGAAAAATGAGTAAACTTGAAGGTAAGTTAATTGCTATTATCAAGTCTGAGAAATGGAAAGAAAACAATGAAATGAACAGAATCTCAGAGAACTACAGAATATTATCAAGCATTCCAGCATACAATACTGCCTCGAGGGAGAGAGAGAAAGATCATCCACAGTACCTCATTATATAAAGAAATAAATGAGGTAGGTATGATGGTTCACAACTATAATCTCAGCTACTAGGAGCCTAAGGCAGAAGGAACACAATTTCAAGGCCAGACTTAGAAACATGGATAGCCCCCCTCTCAAAAAAGAAAAACAAATGGCCCAAAATTTCCCAAGTTTAATGAAAATCAATCTATTCATTTAAGAAGCTCAATAAACTGTAAGCAGGATAATTCAAAGATATCCACACTTAAACATATCACAGTCAAACTGTCAAAAGCCCAAGACAAAGAGAGAATCTTAAAAGCAGCAAAGAAAAATGACTAATCATATACAAAAGGCCTTTAATAAGATTAATAGTTACCGGTTATAGAGTCCAGAAGGCAATGAATGATACAAAGTGTTGAAAGAAAAAAAAAGTCAGTCAGCAGTTCTGTACCTAGCAAAACTGTCCTTCAAAAGTGAAGGATTTTATAAATAAAGATGAGAAGAAGGGCTGAAGGGAAAGCAGGGGAATGGGGGGAGGATCAAGTTATATCATGCACAGGTACAAATTCCCTATGATGAATGTGATCATTACGTGTATCTAAAATGCACCAATAAACTTTATTAAATTTTTAAAAAGTGAAGCAGAGGACCCTAGCAGCACATACGATGACCCTGTGACAGGACCAAAAGGGAGTCCACTGGGAAGCCAGCAGAGAGGCTTTATAAGAAATTAAACCTGTTAACTCCTTAAGCTTGGACTTCAGAAAATAAATTTCTGTTCAAAAAAAAAGTGAAGGAGAAGTTAAAGACAATCCCAGATAAACAAAAGATTGAGAAAATTCACTGCTAGCAGGCTAATCCATAAGAAATTCAAAAAAGAAAAATTCTCTGGACCTAAGGATCAGGGGCACTAGGTCTCAAATAACCAAGATAAGCAGAAATGTGCATTATTTGGTGAAGAAAAGCTACAATTAAATGGATGATAATCCACAGGAAATGGACATAAGCAGTCTATGGGGGGGAGATGCAAGGGGCCCCAAAATACCTTCCCCGGTGTTTTCATATCAGAAAAAATGCAAAGTAAGCTTGCACTGAGCCAACATCTCTGATGTCAGACTGGCAAAAATACAGATGCCTGACAAGAAGTCAAGTAAACATGGTACAGAAACTGGCTCTCAATGAACATGGAGAGACTGCAGATTGACCTCTGACCTCACTAGCTACTTCTAGGAATCTACCTGGCAAATGTACTTCCACAAATATGAAACAATATGTGCACAAATTTTATAGTGATATTATCTGAATTACCAAAAGACTGAAATGGAGAGAGATGGCTGAATAAACTGGTAAAAAAAAAATTCCTTGAAGGTAGACTAAAAAGGCAGGAAATTGTAACTTGAATCCATTTGAAGAAATAAACCAGAAAAAAAAAAAAGAAAGAAACCAGAAAAAGTATGTGTATTTTTGTATGTAACCCTTCTAATTTAAAATATAACTATATGAAGCAATAGTTATCAAGCCATGTAGGTGGATATATAATATATAAATTTGTCTGACAGTAATAGAAAGAAGGTGAGAAGGGAATAGAGATACATTGGAGCAAATGTTTGAATACTACTGAAATCAAACTGGTATGAATTTGAACTACATTGTTTTAAATTAATGTCAACTATAATCCAGAGGACAACCACTAATAAAATAACTTCAAAAACATGGTAAAGGAAACAGCAAAGGAATTAAAATGGTATACTAGAAAATATTTATACAAAAGAAGTCACTAATGGAATAACTGGGATAAAAAGACCTTAGATATATAGAAAATATTAGGAACATGGCAAACATAACCTTATCAATAATTACACTAAATGTAAATAAAATTGCATAGTATCTCTATATGAAATCACTCAAATGGTAGCTATCCTAGTTTTTGTTTCTGTGAGATTCATGGTACTGAAGCTACGTTAATTATTATGGCCCAGACTGACTTGATTTTTAAAAACTTTTTCATATATAAAATTTCCAACACATAAAAGTAGGAAAGACTGCACAATGAACTATTTAATTGTATCAGTCATTATTTTCATGGCTATCCTTATTCTTCTACACTCTCACTCTCCTCCTCTTCCCAATCACTGGACATCAAACCCAATCCCAGATATCATTTCATGACAATTTACACTTACTAGAAAATAATCACCACTTTAAGAAAATGAAATATTAATTTCACTATTATACTATAGAAGAAAGAGAACTTAGCATTAGAAAATAGTAACTAAATCAAAGATAATTTTCAAGAGTAATAATTTATTTAAATTCCTAAAGAAATTTTACAAATGTGAACAAAGCTCTTGGTACTCTTGTTTTATTCTACTCTCTTGTTCTTACCCGTCTCTTCTCTCAGGATTCCATCCTACTTTTGACCTACTAAGTGAGGTTATGTCTGATGATTCACTTTTCCTTGTGGAAGAGTCATTATTATTCAAAATTTGTTCTAAAAATCTTGTATTTCCTACAACAGAAGAAATGTGGTATCATTTTCCAATATTAACTCATTTCTCTTCTATATAACTTCTCACATATACCCTAAACTAGCTTCTTCTGATGAGCATCTACTCTATTCACTCTAAAATTGTTATAGCATGCATGTGTTCCCAAAATTTAATGTGTTGAAAACTTGATCTTCGAAGTCATATGTTGATGGTATAAGAAGCAGAACCTCCTGGATGCAAGTGGGTCCTAAAGATGAATCTACCTACTGGTCACTTTTCCATCACTAGACAAAATACCAAGCACCCACAATTTAGAGGAGAGGTCTATTGCGCTCCTGGTCTCAGTCCTGTCCCCTTGCTCCAAGAGAGAAACAGAATGGCGGAGTGGCCTAGCAGAGGGCAAGGTGCTCCACTGGGGTAGCCGGGATGCAAAGACAGTGAAGAGGAGAGCCGAGGACAAGAACGCACCCTTCCATGTCATTTCCCAGGCCCCACCTCCTAAGACTCAGTCAGGCAGAGTTCCTCCCTGATGCAGTCACCTCCAAACACTTGAGCATCTGGGGGGACATTTTAGACCCAAACCATAAAAAATGGGTTATCAAGTGAGTGACTTTGTCATAAACCAAGCTCTCTTTTTTTTTTTTTTTTTTTTGGTCTTTTTGAGACAGTCTCACTGTGCCATTCAGGCTGGTCTTAAATTCACTTTGTAGAACAGGCTGGCCTCAAACTTACAATGATCCTCCTGCCTGAGCTTCCCCAGTGGTGGGATTAGAGGCATGTGCCATCATGCCCAGTTAAAACCAGGCTCTCTCTGGCTTACTTTCTCTCTCTGCAATGTCCTCCACCAGGTCACAAAGCAGGCCAAGAAGATGCCAGTGCTGAGCCCTTGGACTTCCAGAATTATAAGCTAAATTAACCTTTTTCTTTTTAAATACCTAACTTAGAGGATTCCATTACAGCAACAGAAAGAAGACCAACACAACGAAGTAGACTATAAATACACTCATCAAATAAAACTAAATCCTATACATCATAAGAGCGTTACTGATAAGCTTGAAATCTCTGCATAATAAACCTAAATTTATCTCCACCACAAAAGTGTCATCATCATAAAGCTCAGCAAACTGAACTATTTTTACAAATTAGTAAACAAGAGATCTGTTTCTTCACAACAACCTTTAATTGGATTTCCCCATTAGTCCTCATTTCACATAATTTTTTAAAATTTTAATAATTTTACATAATAATTTTTGGTTGTTTTTTTATTAAAAATTTATTATCTTCTAAATTCTTAAAACTTGTTTAATGTAAGATTTCACTTCATTTAAATGATTATAAGAACAAAAGCCTACAGCTTAGTATGTCTCACTTTTACTAGAAGGGTTACATTTTAAGGCTCTGCTGTTATTTCAGATTACTTATAAAAGTTTTTGCCTCTATTAAAAGTTCATAGACCAGCATGTTTTCCAGCTGAACACAGTGATAAATGTTAATTTCCCCAAGTCTTACTATTGAAATACACACCTAAAAACAATATAAGGAAACATGCCTTACCTTTAGCAAAGAAATGTTTATTTATTAATAACACAACTTGTTCATTAAAGGTTTAGAAATAACTTAAGAGGATAGAATAATTATAAATATACACTGTTAATTCCTACAGAAAATTTAAAGAACCTTGGTTTGCCCAGTAAACATAATTTAAAGAAAAATACCAGAAAAACAGATACCAGTTTATGGGTAGGCATATAGAAAATTCCAAATTGTGAATGAGAACATCTCAGGACAATTTTTTAATTTGAAATAGGAGTAGTAAAACATGGGTATAGTCATAATTGCTTTCTCACCTCTATGATTTGATTTTTCCATGTTTTCTTTTTCTTCTATGAGATTTTCCCTCTTTGATATTTCGCCATCTCTTGAAACAGGTATAGGGGCAAACCTTCGAGGCGTTGGTGTCTCCAAAGGAGATTTCTGCTCATCAAAATCTGTATCTTCAACTTTCCTTAAAGTTGCTTGAATAGACAATAATAAATTTAAATTACTTTGTTAAAATGTTTAAATCCACATGCCAAAGACTAAAACTAGGTCCATGTCTATCAGCATGCACTAAACTAAAGTCAAAGTGAACCAAAGATCTAAATATTAAAACAGAAACACTAAATCTACTAGAAGAGAAAGTAGGTAGAAATCTTGATGACATAGGGGTAGGCAGAGAGTCCATGAAAAAAAAAAAAAACTGCACAGGAAATACTTCAAGGAATCAACAACTGGCATCTCATCTTATTAAGAAGCTTTTGTACATCAAAAGAAATCACCAACAGAGTGAAAGGAAACCCACAGAATGGGGAAAAGTTTAGCCAACTCTCCGTCAGACAAATGACTTCTATCTACAACATAGAAAGAATTTTTAAAAATCAGGCTACCAAAATGCAAAGTCCCAATGCAAAAGGGCATCTGAGATGAATATACACTTCTCAGATGAAGAAATCCTAATGGCAAATAAATATATGAAAAAATGTTCAACATCATTGGTCATTTGAGAAATGCAAATTAAAAATTAAAACAATACTGAGATTCCAACTCACCCCAGAGAGAATGGCTATCATCAAGAAATCAATAACAAATGCTGGAGGAGCTGTGGAGAAAAAGGAACCCTTCTCCACTGCTGGTGGGAGTGTAGACTGGTGAAACCACTGTGGAGATTCCTCATAAAACTAGGATTAGAGGTCCCATTCAACCCAGCTATTCTCCTTCTGGGTATTTTCCCAGAATTAAAAACATCATACCACAGCGATATATGTGCACCCATGTTTATAGCAACACAATTTGTAATAGCTAAATCCTGGAAACAACCCAAATGCCCATCAACCGAGGAATAGATAAAAAAAGATGCAGTATTTTTATATAATGGAGTACTACTCAGATATAAAGAAAGGTAAACCTGAGGCTTTTATAGGTAAATGGATGCAACTACAGACCATACTCATAAGCAAAATAAGTCAGACTCCCATGTGTAATCATCGTACTGTTTCCCTAGTGCAAGAAATTGGGAAAGTAAATAAGATCCAAAATAGATACTGTGAAAGGGAAAGAAACTGCTCAAAAGAAAAGACCAACTGGGATGGGGGAAGAAAAAAATATATATACATATATACACAAGATAGCTAAGATAAATATACTACTAATTTCTATTAGTTCATTGAAAGGAACAGTTTGTGCTTATATTGTTTGATCAGTTTTACATGTCTATATCTTGTAAGCTGGGCAACTACTTTGAAGGTAACAATATGGAATATAATAACATTGTTAATTTCCTATTATCTTGTTCTGAAATTCTATATCATTTTTATTTTTTTCTTTCTTTTTTAAAAAAATGTTTTAAATCATACAGTATTATTCCTCCTTTTACTTTAAAAATAAAACTCACAGATATACAAATTATTAACAAGTGTATAGAAATAACTTCATCCTTACTAAAAACCAAAAGAAATAAAGATTTTTAAACATTTTACACTTAAAGTTAGTAAAAAAGAATCAATATGATAATATTCAATACTATCAAAGCTGTGGTGAAAATGGCATAGGTACACATTTCCAAAACAATGGAAACTGATAAGTTATCTGGCAGTATACTTTGACCTAGTAATCTTGCTCTTTAGAATTTATCCTAAGGAAATAACATAAAAAAGATAGTGTTCAATACATGACATTGTTCACTACAGTATTATTTATAAAAAAGAAAACCTAAAAACTGCCTAACTGTCCCATAAGAAAATAGTCAAATAAATTGTGGAATAGTTATTTAAGAGACTATCCTTTATAGTTACTAAAATTTTAAGTTATGAGCCATAGCTCAATGGCAGAGAACTTGCCTAGCATTCAAGAGGCTCTAGGTGAAATTCCCAGGACCACAAAAAAAAAGTTATAATTGTGAAGATACTACAGTTAAAAAATGATTTGATATGCTAATAAAAAGTACAAAACTGTATCGATGTTACAACTACATATAAAAATGATGTGATGTCTAAGTAAAAGTATAGAAAAATAATGATTAGTTTGAATTTTTAATTTACTCACTTTTAGGTTATGAACAACAAACTAAGTAAACATGTAACAATCAAGAGGGGGGGCAGAGTGGAGCACACAAAATGAGGAGCCAGTAATTTTCTGGAATTGAGTAAGTACACTGGAAACAAAGTGTCCATTTCCACAAAAGGTGAATGGCTGGGTGCTTGGCCTCACTCCAACACCTTTTTTCTAAGCCAGGGACCTGCAGTAGGCAGGTCAAGTGTTTCCTGCTTCGTTTTCCTCTCAATGCAACTTGAAAACTGACTCAGATTACTTCACAACAGTTTCATAAGGACTATGCATTTTTGCAATGTATGTACCACTTTATAAGGGTTCTTTAGCAATACAATGAGGGGCTGGGGATTTAGCTCAGCGGCACAGCGCCTGCCTGGCAAGCCAAGGTCGTGAGTTCAATTCCTGGTACCGGGGGAAAAAAAACAAAAAAAAAACCAAAAAGAACAACAACAGAACACAATGATTTCCTAACAGGTCAGATGATGAAAATACATGGATCTGTATATAATTTTTTTTTTTTTTTGGTTTTTCTCCGGTACCGGGAACCGAACTCACGATCTTGCACTTGCCAGGCAGGCGCTTTGCCGCTGAGCTAAATCCCCAGCCCCCTGATCTGTATATAATTAAAAGGACAGTTCCTGGGCCAGGGATATAGCTCAGCGGCATAAGCACCTGCCTGGCAAGTACAAGATCCTGAATTCGATTCCTGGTACCAAAAAAAAAAAAAAAAAAAAAAAAAGGACAGTTCCTTGATTTACTTTAATTCATTATTCATATAGCAACAATTTAGATACATATTTATTAATTTATTTTGAATGCTAAAGGTTTAATGAATGAGCTATATATTCCTGTTTTAGTTTAAGTAATTTTGAAATTTCATTAAAATAAACAGATTTGCATTAGGAACTCCGAAATATTTAGAAATATGGTAGCCCTGACCCCTTCCTTATCGGTTGGAGACATGTTCCAAGACTCCGAGGGAATGGCTGCAGTTTCCAAAGGCACCAAGCCATACACACACTCAGTCTGTCCTGTCCAGGCACACAGGACAGCGCGGGTACCCAAACAAAGGGACGCTTCTCACCCTGGGCAGGGCTGAACCTAACAGCAGGAAATTTCATCGTGTTACTCAAAACCACATCCAACTTATGAACGGTTTGTTTCTGGACTTTCCATTTAACATTCTGAGACCAAGAAGACTAGATAACTGAAATGCTGGCGAGGAAAACTGCAGCTACAGGAGAGAACAGTAATTCATAATTGTACGTAGGTGGAGTTTTTACTGGCCAAATCAAGAAAAAAATAAATTGAACTTTATCAGAAAACTATAGAACTGTATTACAAGTATTTCTGATACTGTACAAGTAAATTTTTCTAAACGTGTTAATATTCTGACCATTTATGAAGGTTATTAATTAAAACCATAAATTAGGACATTATCCATAATTTGAACAAGTTGCAAAATAACCTAATATTTTCTTGACCTAAAAAAAGGACTAACTTTACAAAACAAAAACTTCTACAAATGAGGCACGATGGTGCATGCCTTGAGTCCCAGCAGGCTGTGAGGCTGAGGCAGTAAAATTACAAGTTTGAACCCTGCCTGGGCAACATAATGACTTAAGGAGTCCCTGTCTCAAAAGAATAAGGAGCTGGGGATGTGGCTCAGTGCAAAGGCCTTGGGTTCAAATTCCAGCACCACCAAAAAAAAAAAGAAAAAGGAGTTCTACAAAGAAATCTTATAAAGAACTCTTACCACTTAGGAAATACGTTCTTAGCTTGCTCGGGATGAAGAAAGCACATGGCTCACAATTTTTATTCGTAAAGGAACTAATTATGTTCACCTGGTTTGGAAGCAAATGGGATATGCGCAGACGGCGTGCTGCTGCTGAGATGAGGACGTCCTGATTCTCTGGAGTGCTTCTCCATGGCTCTGGAGGCAAGCGTGCCAGCAGGCGGAAAAGCATGGGTCTTGAGTGCAGCGCTAATAAAATGGGTCTATAGGAAATAAAATCATGTTGTTAATTTGAAATAGCATCTGAAAGGGCCAGATGGCAACTTATTAGAGAATTTGAAATCAATTTTTTTAAACAGAAAAAAAATTTCACAACAAGGTAACAGAAGGGTAACAATGGTTAATACATTGCATATTGCTATCTTTAAATTACTGAGACTGGGGGCTGGGAATTTAGCTCAGCGGCACAGCGCCTGCCTGGCAAGCGCAAGGTTGTGAGTTTGATTCCTGGTACTGGAAGAAAAACAAAAAAACAAAAAAACCAAACAAACAAATAAACTACTGAGACTTATTAGCAGACTTTAAACCAATTCTTGACATTTAATCAACAACGACAAGGCAGACCTTTCTGCAGTAACTCTGGAGTCACGCAGAGATGCCCCGGGGGATGAAGGGCACAACACAAGACAAGCCTGCTGCCCCATGACCCCAATCATGTTCTGCAACCATTCCCAACTCCAGCAACTCCCTGCCCACCTCACCAACAGCTTAGAGGCCACTGCAGCAGGCTAAGAGAAGGCCAAGAAGGAAAGGCCCAACCCTAGATCTTTACTTCAACCAAAATTCAGAAGAAAAACATCTCACCTTTTAAGTCCTGAATGGTAAATGTTATTTTATCCATTTTCATTGTATTTTATTTTATTTCATTTGTTTAGAGACATGGTCTCGCTAAGTAGTGCAGGCTGGCCTTCAACTTACTCTGTAACCCAGGCTGACCTCAAACTTGCAGTGACTCTCCTGACTCAGGCTTCTGAGTGCTGGAATTACAAGCATGCACCACCACTTCAAAATAAAATTTTTTACAAAGCCAAGATGTAGTTCAGTGCTACATCCCTGGCATAGTGTGAACAAGGCCATGGACTCAATTCCAAGCACAGTACAACAACAATTACAAAAGAGTCCCTGAACAACAACAAATTTTAGCTAAAGAAATCAAGCTCAGAGAAGTTATTTACAGACTGGCAAATGCCAATAGGACCAATCTATTTCCGGCCACCATGAGATAATACGCTGCATATTCAATTTTATTTTATCGTTCATTCATTCACTACAATATCAGATGATTGTAGAGATATAATAACTAAATCATGATTCAAGAAGTAAAGCTATTATAATCTAATGAGCTACTGCAATTATCCAACTTGAGATGCAATGAAAATAGATGACAGGATGCATACTGGTTTCGTCATGGATACCTGGATATCTATTTGCTGTTGCTGTAATTTTTCCAGGTGCCTAATGTGCTGCTCCATGAATACATTCATTTGCTTCTCATGGTCATGACAGTGCAGTTTCTCTTGTTTATTCTGAATGCTTGTCTGCTGCTCTGTAACACGTTTTAAGTGCTTGTCAGTCTCCTCTAACTTATTAAGTAATTCTGTAACAGAATTAACTTTTGCTTCCAAATCACTCTGCACCTAAAACAATAAAAATTTCAGAATAATATTTCATATTATAGAAAGACACCAAAACTATGTTCAATCACTAGGTTATTTATAGCAATTGATATTGAAAATTACAACATCAGAGCTTTTACCCACTACTTTTTGATAATCTGATGTCTTTATTTTTAGAGTCACAGAAGTAAAAGGCAGATGACAGCAATCCTTAGATACGTGTTTCCTCTCATTTAGAAAAACATACACACCAAGTTCTCTACACAGAAATTTACAATGCTGAAATAAGATACTTAGATGGAAATTAAAAGAGAAGAACTAGCAGAACAAGTAGCCTTTGTTATTTTACCCAAGTAAGACTGAGTCAGGGCAGCAGCCTTGAATTCTGGTCTTAGCCCTGCCCTCTACAGCCTTGTGCCTTCCCTGACCCGTGCTCTATTTCCTCACTACAAACTGCTGAAGTAGGTATATGTGATGAAAGGTTCCTTCCAGTTCTCCAATTAGGAGGGCCAATCATTCCGGTTGCAGGGACTGAGATGCTCGCCATGATGCGGACCCTCAGTACTACAGGAAGGAAAGCCTGAACTCATTAGCACCACTGCAGGGAGGAGGGGGTCACTTTCACAACCCCTGAAATAATACACAACCACAAAGCAAAAATTCTTTGAAACTGCAAGTGCAATGTTCCTAGTCTACAGCTGGACACAACTACTTACAGAATCAGTTCTTAACAGACGTTTTACATTTCACAACGTTTATGTAGCAAGCGTGTTTGGGGAGAACAAGCACCTTGATCAGCGGAGCTGCTGTGGCAATGGCGGCGGCAGTTGCTGCAGCCACGGTGGTAGCGGAATCAATGCCACTAGGGGAAACTCTGGCCTCCTGAGGCGCAGCACCCTTCTCTGTGCCTGTGTCTTCTAAAAGTTGGACCTTCACTTCCTTAAAAGCAGGCACGCTTTGCGCTCTAGAAATAAAGAATGGATAAAAATATATTCAGTAAGCTACATTGAACTATTTTTAAAAATAGTGGGAATCTGCTCACAGTGGTTTTCTTAATTTTTAAACATCAAATCATGTTTCAAACAAAGTAATTTTGTTCATGACACCTATTAAGGCTTAGTTCACTAAGAACTAAAACAATAAGATAATTCCCTGAAGGCAGTGACAGTTTCAGAAAAGATTTACAAATAAGAAAAACGGATGAGCCAGGCGTGGTGGCACATGCCTGTAATCCCTGCACTCGAGATGCTGAGGCAGTTCTGCAGGAAACCTGAGTCAACAGTAGCCAAGAGCTCAAGAGAAGGAAGGAAATTTTGTTGAACGCCGGTGGACCCCAGAGTAGCAGTCTTCAAAGTCTGAGGCACTGATTACGGAGAGTTTGTCTTTTTTATAGTGTGGCAAGCATAAGTTACAAAAAACTAGATAAGCTTAGCTGAAGGCCATGTACAATGGGTATCTTGTGGTGAGCACAGTTGATGTAGCACAGTTGTTTTTAGCACATTCACAGAAGTTTCTATTTGATGACAAATCATATGATTTAGCTGAGTCCAGTGGCAGAGAACAGAATGGCTGCAGCTTTACTGAACAAAATGGCTACAGTTAGGTCAGGATTTCTGCTTTAGCAGAACTGCCAAGAGCTCGAGGCCAGCCTGTGCTACACAGTGAGACCGAATCTCCAAAAAGAAAAAAGGATGGCCACAGTCATAAAGATATAGAATCAAAATGTACAAATCTAAAGCATGTAGAAAAAGCTCTAAAATGTAAATTCCACGTTTGACTTACTAAGAGGGATTCCTTTGTTCATAAAGCACTGATAATTTTATTCCCCAAATACTTTTAGAATTATCACATTACAAGTAGGGCCATAGCACAAGTAAAGTGTGTGCTCAGCATGCACAAAGCTCAGGTTTAACACCCAGCACCAAAAAGAGAAAAAAATTAACTGGGCGTGATGGTGCATACCTGATCCTAGCACCCTGGGAAACTGAGACAAGAAGATTGCTGAGAAAGAGAACCTATCTCAAAACAAAAAGAAAAAGGGGTGAGAGGTGTAGTTCAGTGTGAAAGCCCAGTACCAGCCACACAAAAAATTATAACATTGTTGATGAACACTTTGACTATAGTTTTTTCTATTGAGGTAATTAGAAAATTACAATATTGAATGTCTCTATTTGTTTTCCTGAGAAACCACTTTGAAGATATCAATATGTAATACAACAAGCATTGTTAATTTCCTACCACTTTCTTTGTAACTCTGTATTGTTTGTATTGTTCTTTTGCTATTTTGTAAATGGTTCTCTGTTCATTAATGTTTTCCTTCTTTTATTTTTAAAATGAAATTTAAAGAAAAGAAAATTAAAATAATATATATTTATAGTGTACAATGTAATGTTTTGGTATATTTCTATGTTGTGTAATGATAGCCAAAATCAGTATCATTGACATATCCACCACCTCGAATACTTACCTTTTTTGTGTATGTAGTAAGAACATTTAAGATCTACTCTCTTAGCAACTGATTTTTCCTTAGCCTTTTTGAGACAGGATTTCACTATGCAGTTCAGCCTGGCCTTCTTTGTAGCCCAGCTGGCCTCAAATTCAAGGCAGTCCTCCTGACTCAGCCTCTCAAGTGCTAGGATTGCAGGGGTGAGCCACCATACCCAGTCCTGAAACCATTATTAACTACAGTCACCACACTGTATAGCTGATCTCTAGAATTTATTCATCCAAACTGAAATTGTACCCTTTGCCCAACATCTCCTTCCTCTTTACTCCCAACCCTGCCAACCACCAAGCTACTCTGTCTCCAAGAATTTCACATTTTCATATTCCATATATAAGCAAATTAAGTAGTAATGATCTTTTAGTGTCTGGCTTATCTCACTGAGTGCAAAGTCCCCAAAAGGGAGTATAAAAAATTCTCACTTGGCCAGATGTGATGGCATACACCTGTAATCTCAGCACCCGGGAGGCTGAGGCAAAAGGATCATTTCAAGTTTGAGAATAGCCTGGGCTACAAAATAAGCTCAAGGCCAACCTGAACTGCACAGCGAGGCCCTGTCTCAAAAAAGGAAGAAAAAAAAAACAAACTTCTGACTTAATTCATAAATATCACCCAGAATTCTTTAAATGGCACCAAAGACACCATTAAGCAGCCTGGATCAAATATGAGTCTGGCAAATAGATACACAAACTTGCCATAAGGCATTTAACCTAATACTTAAAGCTGGTCACAGGCTCTGCATTTTGCCTCAAAGAAAACAACACAAGGAAAATGACGAACCCTCGGGCGAGGAAGTAACACCATCAGGAACATGGGCCCCCTCCAGCTGCTGGATCCGCTCACTAGATTTGTAAAGGCAGCACAGAACCCACACTTACCCCTCTTTGATGTTTCCCCATTTTACTAGGAGCCTGAGTTCTATCACCACCTTGACTTGTCTACTGCTTGCCTCCTGGTACCCAAGTGAGTCAGGTTTCCCCAATTATTTCATCACAATTGGGTGAAGTGTCGGAGTTGTACAGCTGGGGAACTACAGTCTGTGCTAATTCCCCAACTTCACAGGAAGACCTAGAGCTCACAGGGGCAACAGGGTTTCCTTGGTTAGAGTCCCGCAGGTGAGCCCAACCCCCACGTCCCCAGAGCTTCCTCTCCAGGTCAGCACTCCTCCTTCTGCACCTCTCCTCTCTACTCTAAAACCTCCTGAGGCCCACGTATTTCACCCCTCGGGTCTCGCTTGATTAAAAACAGCCCTCACAGCCTGGCACAGTGGCACATGCCTTCCAGCACCAAGGGAGGGCGAGGAAAGATCATGCAGAGTTCCATTTCCCCTGTAATTTAGCAAGATCCTATCTCAAAATAAAAGATTAAAAAAACGGCTGGAGATTGAAGCTCAGTAGTACACCACCCTGGGTTTAAACTTTAGTGCTGAAAATAAGAACTTAGGAGAAAACAACTTCCCTCACATTTGCTTCCACCATTCAAAACTCCCACGCATCACTAGACACACCCGCTCCAGGAGCTGCTACGCTTTCTGTGCACTCAGAACCCTGGCCCTGCTGTCCCCTCACAGGAACCTCCTAGGACTTGCCCAGGTCACCTCTCAGGCACAACGCGCCACTCACACTGCACAGAGGACACTGCACCACTGCTGTCTCCTAGCATCTCCGTTTCCTGACTTCCTTCCACCCAACTTAACACTACATCCTTCTCCCAAGCCAGGCCCAGTGGTGCACGCCTGTAAGCCCAGCATCGGGATGCTGAGGCAGGAGGAGCACAGAAAGTTCAAGGCCAGCCTGGGTTACCCAGTGAGTTCAAGGCTAGTCTGAACTGCACAGCGAGGCCCTGACTCAACAGCCCCCTCCCTATACTATTCCTAATATTAATAAGTCTATTTTTATAACACTAACTGTTGATCTTTCCCTCATTAAGTCCTGTTGCATTTACTATCTATCCCACACAATTGAGAACTGATAACTCGCCATCCATGGTTTAAATGTCTGTACAGGACAATTTAATACTATATCCAAAAGTATACCTTGATTTGGTATAACTGTCTTACGTGTTTTATGTGTTTGAGGCCTTTTAATCTGGTTGTTAATCTATATTATAATAAATAACTTTATAAGGATTTATAAAATAAATGAATCTGATGCAAAAAGGAGCGGTTAAGGGAAAAGGGATAAAAAGAATTGTGCCAAAATATGCAATAGATGATATGAAAGGGAAAGAAATTGCTCAAGGAAGGATCAACTGGGATGAGGGAAAGAAGAAAAAGAAAGGCAAAATGTGTGTGTGTGTGTGTGTGTGTGTGTGTGTGTGTGTGTGTGTGTAGAAGGACAGCGGGGATAACTGTACTGCTGATGCCTGATGGTTTATTGAAAGGAACAGTTACTGCTTAAAATTTTTTATATTTTGAACAATTTTGCGTGCTTATATCTGGTAATCTGAGCAACTGATTTGAAGACAACAATATGCAATAGAACAACCATTGGTGAATTCCTACCATCTTGTCTCGTGAAACTCTGTATTGTCTCTAAGTTTTATTTAATAATTTTTTTTATTCTCTTTAACGGTTTGAACAATCTTCCATTCTTATATCTGGCAATCTGAGTAACACAATTGAAGATAACAATACGTAATATAACAACCACTGTTAATTCCTATCATTTTGTTTTGAAACCCTGTATCATTTTTAATGTTCTTGCTTTGTTTTGTTTTTATCTGTGCTGTTGGTATGTTGCTGTTGTTCTTTTTATTTTTTAATACTCTCTTTAAAATAAAAAATAAATGAAAGAATTATGATGTGTCATGTTTCATCCCACAATGAAAACAAGCACTATGCACTGCAGACATGTACTAATAAAAATAAAAAATAGTATAGTGAATGCAATGCTCCTTGCTAGCATGACTGTAGTCACTCGCTCTTCCATACATGTACATATTCTCCCAGCTAAGCTGTACACAACCCAGGGAGGAGGGGACACTTCTTTTATACCAAACAGCAACTAATGAAGAACTAGGTACACAATATGTGCTCACTATGTACTAACCAACTGAAGGATATGCTAAGAAAATACAATTCAGCTATTCCTTCCCTTCCCTTACCTGGTCTGAAAGTGACTTACCCTTTACCAATAAAAAAAAAATAACATTATAAAGCTAGACAGCAACTTCTTTATAGGCTTTTCTCTCCTTTTTGAGTCTTGCTATATTGCCCAGGCTGGCCTCAACGTCACAATCCTCCTGCATCAGCTTCCTGTATAGCTGGGATTACAGAAGCACAACAGGCTGCCCAGTTTTATGTATGAACAAGGCTTTTAAATTTATTTCTTCTAATTATTAAGTTATTGAGTGCTCTATGTACCAGATTTAAAGAGCTCCTAAATATAAAAGAACTGGAAAAATATACACAACTCTCTCATTCAAAAGTAATTACTTCCTTGAAGTCCTTTTTCAGAACTTTTTTCTTTATTCCTAAATCCATTAAATAAACCAATACTAGGCTGCAACTGCTCTCACCAAGTTCACCACTGATCCTTCTTGCTAATTCAGTGAACATGTTCACCCCTATTTTTACCTCTGAGCAGTACAGCAAACTTGGAAACCAATTCTCTTTGGCTTTGTTAATACCACACAGCCTACACCTCTGGCCAAGCTTTCTGAGCAGCACTGGGAAGGCAGCTGGCTTTCTCCACATGCCTTACATCCAGCCTGCACTACATAGCAAGACCCTGTCTCAAAAAAATAAGCGTCTGTAAAATTAAGATGGTCCTGGAAGCACATAGGATTTTGTGAGTATTAAGTGAGAGGGAGTATTCTGTAAACTGGGTTAGTAATGGAGTCTATTTCATAGGGTTTAGGGTGTGTTAAATGAGCTGATGTAGTATAGTGCTTAGAACAGAGCCTTTTCTATACTAATAATAGCTAATAGCTACTGAGTACTTTATATGTGCTCAGTAACATGAGAAAGGCTTTCTATATATCATCACACACTACATCATGTAGAGTAAAAAGGTTTTTCCTATGTTCAAAGTGTAAATGAAGCTAACATTTAGACACAGTCCCAACAGTGACTATAAATAACACTTACTTTTGCTTTAAAATCGTCCTTAGAGCATCTTTCTGCCCCACAGAGTACTGAGAAATAAAGATGTCATCTGCTGCAAAATTAAGATACAAAAACACATTTCAGATTCCTGAAAATTTACTAAATTTTATTAAGTTATACAAAAAAAAATCCGACTTTTTTTTACTAAAAGAACATTCAGGGATTTACTAAAAGAACATTAATAGGTTTCCTCAATTTAAAAAGAGGAATGCTGGGCATGGTGGTGCACATCTATAATCCCCACATCCGGGAACCTAAGGCAGGAGGGTCCCTGTGCACTCAAGGCCAGTCTGAACTGCACAGCAAGACCTTGTCCTAAAACAACCAAAAGGAAAAGTAAATTTAAAATTTTTTTAAATAAAAGAAGAGAACAAATTAAATGACTGCGTAATACAGTCAGTAATAATCATAATCTGGAAACTAGAAAAAAATTGTATCCAAAAAAACCCAAGACCAAATTGGAGAATTTGTTCAAACCCCAAAGAAACCTAGAATACAAAAAAACAAACTACCTTAAAATTTGTCAATCAATAAAATTCTTCAAAGAACAATTTTAATCTATAAGCAAAAGTCATTAAAATTTGAAATCAGAATCTGTAAACAGACATGCAATACTAAAACTACGAAATAGGTTGGTAATAATAAAATAACCGTTCCCACTGCAAACTTCTTTTAGGACTTCAAGGAGTCTATTAGTAACTTAACTTGGGAATAAAGACTAATTAAAAATTAAAATAATAGGAGCTTAGGGTGTAGCTCAATGGTACAGGTCTTGCCTAGCATGCATGATGCTTTGGGACTGATCCCTAGCACTAGAAATAAAATAAAAATAATAAAACTATAGACTATTGAATAGATATCTAAAACTCAATTCTGCCCATACAAAGAAAATCCTGACACATGCTACAATATCAGTGAACCTTGAAGACACTGTAAGGGAATAAGCCAGACACAAAAGGTCCAATACTTATCCTGTGACTTCATTTACAGATAAACTCTCAGAGGGAAAATGAGGAGAAACGGGCACAGAGCTCAACTGCGGAAGATGACGTTTGGGAGACAGATAGTGATGATGGTGTAACATTGTGCATGTACTTAAAGAGTCACAGACCTGTATGTTTCAAAAGGAATAAAATGGAAAATGTTATGTACTGTAATTTCAAGAAATGTCAGTTCTACTCTTTTACCTTCTTTTCTGCTGCTATCTTCTGCTTTATCCAAATGTAACTCCTGTACTGCAACATCTTTAGAGAAATCCTTTGGGATGTGAAAAAGAAAATAGACTAAATAAGCTTTGAATTTATTACTTAACAAACACCATTTACTAGAAGCAAAATGCTGTGCAGTACGGAGCCCACGGCCCACCTCACAGCCACGGAGACAGGCACCAAGATCCAAGTTCCGGAGCACGGTTCAGGCGGAACTGCGATTAGCTGCTTATGCTGATGAAGAACCTCCTGAGTACACTATGGTGACAGTGGCCAACGAGAAAAGTCAGGACCAAATGACAAGAGGACATGTCCTTGTTTCTACAACAAAATTCAATTCACCATATAGCCTCATGATGTACTGGATAAACTTCACTCTGTTTCAACTGAACTCTCTAGTCTGATGTCTTGATACCACCATCCTTGACAATAATGTCCCTTTACAAAAGAGCAGTTTCAGCTGGGGAGATGACGGAAGGCACGAGGGGACAGTGTCTGTCCTTGTATTTCTACCACTAGACCTGAAAAGAGAGACTCCAGAGTTTCTACAGATTCACTGGAACAGAAAAGCAATAAGGTCAGTAGTCAGAATCAGGGCAATGGAGCTGCAACCCCAATAAGGGCATCAGTGAAACCTCTGAAGGAGCCAATGCCCTCTAAAGACTGACTGATAAAAAGCCAGAGCCATATGATCTCACTGAATTTTGTGCAACAGAATTAACTCAGGAAAAACCTACAGTGGCACATATAGTTCTTCACACCCTTCTACTGAAATTTATCTACCACCTGCAAGTCAAAACGCAGATAGCGGTGTTCATTCAAACAGGATGCAATTTTAGCAGCAGCAAAATAGTGTTCACGCTGCCAAGCAACTGGATATACAGAACAGTTGGGTTCTGAAGCAGGAAAGAGAATCCAGGTGTGAACCAGAAGTGCTTAACATTAAGCTCAGAAGAGACTTATAGTGCCCTCTTCAGAAACAACTCAGAAAACAAGAGTATTGCACAAAAAGAAAGTTGCCTTGGTAAGTTCAGTTGTTAAAGTAGAAAAATTCAATCATGATGGGGAAGAGGAGGAAGATGATGATGATTTTGGCTCCCAGACAGGAAGCATGTCCAGCAGTGCACTGGCGCCAGCAAAGCCTGAAAGGAGACCTCTTCCACCTTCCCAGCAAGCTAACAGGAATCTGGTTTTCAAGGCCACCTCTAAAGCCATGAATCTGTAATAAAAACAACCAATTGTTTTTCAGTCCCACAGAAATAGGCACTTCCAGTTGCTCCCAGAATACAAACATTTCCACAAACATTGGAGCACACAAGTACTGGCCTGCTTGTGAAAATGGAGATGAGCACGCATCTAAAGTGTGTGATGCTGGGATTAACTGGGTACGTGATTACTAAATTAGTACATTGATTTGGGTGTGGATATATAGGAAGGCCCACCCTGAGTATGAGTAGGCCTCCTCCCCCAAAAGGGATGGAGCCTGGATAGAATAGAAGAAAGAAGACTGGATAGACTATAATAAAAGGGCACGTAGCCTACATAGAATATAAGAAAGAGGGCTACGGTCACTCTTGCTACTACTGCTTTGGCTTTGCTGCCTTCTGCCTGCCGTGAACTGTTTCTCCTCTGTGATGCGTGTTTGCCATGCCACCTTGCTTTGGAGCCAGCCAGTGAAGGACTGAAACCTCCATAAACTGTGAGCCAAATAAACCTTCCCTCCCTGAACTTTGGGTGTTGGGTATTGTGTCTCAGCAACAAGAAAAGTAACTAAGATAGAATGAAAGGACAGTTAAAGGAATAATTAAATTGTATTAAGGCCTCTGCTGTGTGTCTGTACCTCGTTCTGTGAGTATCAGCGTGATGATACTGTGCATGATGGCACTGCAGCTCAAGGCCGCACTACTATAGTGAGGCAGAATCATTCTCAGAGTTGGTGCTGCTTTCCCTTTTCCCAAAGATGGAATCGTTTTTAATCTACCATGAAAACAGGAGTGGCCAAAAGTGTTGAGGCAGCTTAAAACAGTCATTCAAATTCTGCATTTTTTTAGAGGAATTTACTTTGGAAAGACTGACGATGTAGGCATCCTGGTTTGGGTGCCTCTTTGGTAAAACTGACCCTCTGCCTTCTGTGAGAGGAGTACAGCAGACGGGCGGGTGCCAGGTGAAGACAGTTGGAATGACACAACGAAAGAATAGGAACAATTGCTTAAAATGGTGTCCTTTATATTATCACATACTTTTTAAATTTGGGAGAGAACTATATTATCATAAGATTATACAAAAATTTTGCTGGACATTGTGACACATAACTGTAATCCCAGCACTCGGTGGGCTGAGGCAGGAGGGTCGTTGTGAGTTCAAGGCCAACCTAAACTACATAGTGAGACCCTGTCTCAAAACACCAAAAGGAAAAAAATTTTAAATTTTTTAAAATTATATATATGATACCAAAAAAACACTTTACACTCACAAGACTATAAGAATACATATATATTCTCACATTCTGAAAAATAACTTTCTCAGAAATAACTCCACAGAAAATACACTTGGTTACTACTGAAGATAATTTTTGGAATATAAAAGCTAGATGTCAATAGTATATTTTAAATGACAGAACTATATAATTACAGATCAGATGAGCAAACTTCAAAATAGGATGGAACTTTTGGTCTACTATATTAATTATGGAGTTTCCTGTGTGGTTTTTAAAACTATTAAGGCAAGACCTGCCAAATCCCCTAGAATTAAATAATAGCTGATTTTTTTAAAAACACCGATTTCCAGCCATGTGATGACCATTCTCTGGGAGGGCAGGACTATATATTTATCTACTTCGTCCTCAGCACTACAGTACATGCAGGTACCTTGAAACTACTTGAGGGCGTGTTCAGTGAGGCATGCACTGCTGGACAAGTAAATAAATGAATAAATGAACAAGCAAGCCAATGTGGCACTGTGGTTCAAACTCAAATCCTGATTTGCCACTTGCAGCAAATCACTTAACACGTCAGTTGCTCCAGTCACACGTGAAAATCCAACTCTTGGTGCATCAAATGGAATGAATAAGGATGGTACAATGTCAAAAACGAATCACAGCACTCTCAATCACTAAGCACACACGTCTACGGAGAAAGCTCCCTATAGAAAGGACACTGACCAGTAAATAATTTTCTGCTAAAGTGTGCAATCTTAGACTTCATCTCTGAGACATTACTTGGCGCTAAGACACTGTGACCTATAAAGTACTAGATACATTCAGTGGTGGTGTCTTTTTTTCTGCTGAATTAGAAAAGGAAAAAATTCTAAAAGAAAATTGTTCAAGGTTATCTGCTGCTGATGCTGTTAACTTTCTAAAAAACAATCAATGGGACTAATAGTACAGTAGCTATGTTTAATGTCTCAAACACTATTCAAGTCACAGTCACAGCATATAAAACATTTTGGGGCCGGGGATGTAGCTCAGCAGCACAAGTGCCTGCCTGGCAAGTGCAAGGTCCTGAGTTTGGTTCCCCATACCAAAAAATAAAAATAAAATAAAAAACATTTTGTATTTGATATCTAAATAAAAACAAGACAAATTAATAAAAACAAGACAAAAAACAAAACAAATTAATCAAATATAATTTAAGAATACACTCAATACTGACAGTTTTAACATAACACATTAAGAACTCTTTTGCTTACACTTTCGGATGCAGTGGGATTTTCTAACAGAGGCTGGTGATTATTTCTAGCAGAAGGTAAGTCTGATGAACCTAGCAAAGGAAAGAAATTAATATGAGTGTTTTTTAAATCAGAACCTTACCTGTAGAAACTGTATGAACATGATTCAAGAACTACACATCTGCATTAATTTGAAACCCAATAGAAGATACTTTAGATGTAAATAAATTAAGAAAATGTATTTAAATATATCCCAATGAAGTTTTGGCAGTTGATATTTTGAAAAAATAAGGGTCAGTATGGGCAATCAAGGAAGAGAAGTACAAAATGTTTTAAAATATACCAGTTCACAACCCATAGGAGGATCATTGAGAGTTCCAGGCCAGCCTGTGCTACATAGTGTGTTCAAGGCCAGCCTGAACTACAGAGGGAGATCCCACCTCAAAAATAAAAACAAAAACAAAATACATATATAGAGTCAGCTCACTATTGGATATGGACAAACTACAAAGTTTATATGGAAAAATATGTACATAATATAAACACCTAATTTAACAGCAGGCATATTATAGTGTCACGCTGTACCTCCAAAGAAACAAATAACAGCATTTTGCTGTTTTTGCACATATATTCAATAATTTGATCCTTAAAATAATCAGTACAACTTACAGTAAAGTGGGTAATAGGTATGTTAGCTTCATTTTCATTGAGTGCCAGCGGGGATAAGTGAACTAGAATATAAAAACCACCAAATGATTTAAATTGCGCTTTTCTGCTACCCAAAATGGACAGCCCTATCCAACAATGCAGAGCACTTGTAAAAAGCACGAAAATTAACCATATTACACAAGTGTGCCATTACAGGTGTGAACAAGCACAATGTGAAAAAACATGAAGAAAACACAAAAGAAAAGTCAAAGTTTCATTCACTCAGTGCATTCAAACATTCTGTAGCCTGTGCAGGGCCATTTCCCCAGGGAACTGGACTCTGGGAACTGTTTCAAACATCTGTGTAAACCGGCTTATATCTTACATTTGGGAATTTAAACATTAAGAATCCTCTAATTTGAAATGAAAATAAGCACCAAAGATTTACAAAAATAAAAACTGGCTGGAAAGCTGCCAGTGTACGCAGTCACATACCAGGTAAAGTTCTGCTCCTGCTCGTCCCCACTCCAACGGGAAGACGTTTATTTGCAGGCAGCGCTGGAGGAAGACAGGGCAACTCATCTTTCAGCAAAGCCAAATTACTTCCCTGATTTGGAGAAACGACCTCACGAAGTCTCCTCGGTGGCATTTTAAGCCTTTTTCTCTCTTCCGGGCTAACTTCAGAGCCTTTCATACTGTAACAAACAGCCCCACAGTTCTGAATGGAAGAACTTTCTTCTGGTTCCCAAAACTTCAGAACAAAATGTTTATCGCTTCGAGGGCCAAGGGAGCAGAAGGAGCAGGAAGAGGGAGGAACACGATAACAATAAGGGAATTCCAAAAATAATAATGAACGATGCAGTCATTCACATAAAGAAAATCCACAGAATATCCACAAAGCTGAAAACTTAAATTGTGGTATTTAACCCAGGACTAAAGACGCCCAAGTCATATTTCGTCATTAATCCTAATGACCCTATTCATGCACCTAAATCTGCAAGTAAGGATGGCAAGAAAACGGCCGCTGGAGCAACAATAACAACGCGCGCCTGCACCGGAGCGCTGGCAGCGCGGAACCTCGGACGTGGAGGCGGGGTTCAATTCTGCTGAAAAGACGTAGTCAAGCAGGTAAAATCGAAATGCTCTTTTTAAACCACTGAAATCAAAATAGTTTTCTTCATCCACAGAGTCTTAGACGTGGCTTCAATCAACCGTTGGACACCCGCAATCACTTCGGCCTCTGCAGAGAGCCCGGCAACCACGCCGCTACCAGTCTTGTCTGACAACAGCTTGGGCAGCCTGCGGCGAACACCCACTTTCCTTAAGCCCGCCCCCCTGAGGCACAACACGCATGCGTGCCGAGAAAGGCACCCGAAATATCCAACCACAAAGCAAGTACTGTGTGGCGCGCTTCCATCCCTCTCCGGGCGGAAACAAACGCCCGAAATAAAGGGTTTAAAACAGATGTGAATTTTTTTACTTTAAAGGCAGCACAGCTCCCGACAAGGCTGTAACATTGGAAATAATTCAAGGGGGCCATCGAGAACTGCAGAGCTCCCAACTTGACTGGCAATATTACTTGTGTATATTAGGGACTGAATAAACTGTAACTCTCAAAGACCGTTAGGGACGCGGGATTAAGTAAACTAGGCTTCCAAACAATTTGGACAGATTCGCCTCTTATTTGGAGAGGCAATCAGGAATTGAGAGCGTTGTCTAAGTAGACAATGACTGAAGTTAATTCTTAGGAAATTTTAGAATTCACTGATGGTACACCACTGGCCTTTCCTCCTAGATCTGTATGCATTATAGCGAATCTGCGTCACGGGTTTTAAGTACTACTTCATATCGCCGCTCCCACGTGTTCTCAGCAGTCCTCCGGGCAAGGCGCCCTCCGTAACCCCGACCGTCCGCCCGCCCTCCGGCGTTCCCGAAGGTGGTCGCAGCCCCAGCCGCGTGCGGACGCGAAAGCCGGTGATTGAGTATGGTCTCCCTTCTCTGCCCTCGCATCGCGGTGCCCGGGCGGGGGTCGGCGGGGCCCTGAGCCTCGCGTCCCGGGTGTGGGGGCCGCGGACCCCGAGCCGGGACCCGGCGCGAGGCTGGGGATCGGGCCGGGGAGCGGGAGTCGCGTTGGGGCCGGGGAGAGACGTGACGGTGAGGGCTCCGCGCGGGACTTGGGCCGTAACGGAAAAAAGCCTTTCTCGACTCGGAGGCTCCCTGGGTCCCAGAGCAGACGCCCGTCCCCGATCGGCTCGTTTTCCAAGACCGCCTTCCCTTTTCGCCTGTAGCGGCTGGAAAGAGATTAATCAGAGCTAAAATGTTTTCTTTTGCATCTCAGTGTCTACTTTCATAGACGTCTAAAGTTAAAAAGAGGCCTTGAGGCCCCAGCTTTGGAGAACCTTGTAATTATTTGTGTGGGGGTGGATGGGTCTTAATGAATTTCTGTACTTAATGATCATTACTTTTCGTGTCACTTATATTTTCACCTTTGTTATTGTTGTGTTCGGTTGTAATATCCTTATATAATTTCTGTAAGTGTTAACAGAGAGTAACAATGTCAGAGCTGCAAGAGATCTTAGAGGTGACTTCCATAATTTCTAGATGAAAGAAAAGAAAGGAAGAAAAATGACCTTTCCCCTTTAATCTCTAAGCTCTGAGAATAAGCACTCTGAAAAGACCTGAGTACAGACCTAGTTTTAGCCTCACAGTCCCTTTAAGCCAGAGTCCTTTACTGTTACATTAATCAAGCAAGTTAGTAAAGATGGATTTAGACATTTACCTCTAAAATAAAAGACAGTAGTTGTGAAACAAAAAACACGACTCAGGGTTTTTTTTATTTCATTTGTGTTTGCTTTCTTCTCCCTTTGTCCCACTCTCTACATATTCATATATAGATAACACTTCTTTTTGCTGAACTGTTTTCAAGTTGCAGATATAATAAACTTTAACCGTAGTTTTTTTGGCACGTGTTTCCTTAAGGACATTCTGCTAACACAATCTCAGTAAGAACATCGTACTGAAGATAACATACTCAAATTTACCCTCTTCCCCAGTGGTCTTTTTTTTTTTTTTAAATTTCAGGTCTTTCTATTTTGATTTCAGGATCCAGTCAGGTTTACAATGTGTTTTCTTGTCATTACTCTTTAGTCTCTTGATCTAGCTCAACCCCCTTTCTTTATGAGATTCTTAAAAAGACCAGCAAGAGGCTAGGGATGTAGCTCATGGTAGAGTGCTTGCCTTGCATGCACAAGGCCTTGGGTTCCATCCCCAGCACCACCCAAAATACCAGTCAAGTTGTCTTTAAAGTATCCAATACTGGAGTTTTCCTAGTTATTTCATCTTGAGACCGTGAAATATCTAATAGTGGGACCTGTTGTTGATGCTTAGTTAAGGTAGTGACTGTCCCATTTCCCAGTGTAAAGGAATAGTTTTCTTTCTGTGATAAGTAACCTGTTAAAATGATACTTAAGGTCATGAACATATACTGTCCCCTAACAACGCATAACTGTTTTTATCATTGATTCCTGTGTGATCTTTGCCTAAATCACAGGATTGCCAGTTATCAGTACCAATCTTACAAGAACATCAGAAGAATCATTTACTGTAAACTAAATTTGAGCTGAATTATGATTTGACTTCGCAGTTGGTACACATGTGCATGTAACGTTTCAAAAGTGAGGGGCATGTCCCCATCACACTATTTTTTTCAACATTCAGAAATTTCCAGAAATTGTCTATGAATGATAATATTCACCTAAATATTTTTCAGACCTTGCTGGCTCTTTTGTTCTTCCTCAGTAAATGGATTTTCTTCCTGAGAAGGAAATTAAAATTTAGGGAAGGAACTAGAAGCCTTCCAGAAGACATAGTTAATAAATGTGAAAACAAAAAAAGGAGCAAAAAAATTCAGTTTTTTGAGAGTGCTGGAAAAAAAGATCAAAAGAGCTTCTAACTGTTTGGCTAGATGGAGAATTTTTTTTACATAGATGATATTCAAAATAATACTTTCACCTGTAAAGTATTACCTATAACGTATGTCCAGTAAGCTACACGTATGATGGGGAAAATACTGGATATTAAGTCTGACACCTTCACCCCAGCTGTTCTGTTACTGTGTGTGTAAAGTATCTTAATACTTCTGAACTGTCCTTTCCAGAATTATTTGAATCATAAGTGGAATGTAGCATTATGTAAGTATTTTTTCAAAAATAATGCATATAGTAAAGAACTGTAACCTTAGAATAAAGTAATGTTGACAAGGATGATGGGGGCTGGAGATAGAGCTGAGGATAGAGATCTTGCCTGGCATACACAATGCACTGGGCTCCATCCCCAGCACCTCAGGAGAAAAAAAAACCTGACTGATCATCAATTGGATGATAAAAAGGAAGATGTTTTTTAAAAACTAATTTAGCCAGGTCGGGCATGGTGGTGCACACCTGTAATCCCAGCACCCGGGAGGCTGAGGCAGGAGGATTGCTGTGAGTTTGAGGACTGCCTGGGCTACATAGCAAGACCCTGTCTACAAAACAAAACAAAATATATATATATAGCCAACAGAAGTTTAGATTTCATCAAAAAGAGCTTGAAGGCATAAAGTCATACTCTTAACACTCTCCTTTTTCAGGTGAGAAATCAGGCCTCACTGGAAGCACTGAGCAGAAGTTAGAGAGCTACTTCTCAAGAACTCGGGAAACTCATGCGTCAGAAAAGGTTTGTGCTTCACAGCCAATACAGTCCCCCTTTACTCTTCAGTTCTGTCACATACTGTGTATTGTTTGGCACAAAAATAACTTAGCTCTGCTGTCATTTTTCCGAAAACCTAAGCCAGGAGTTCTAGAATTCTCTTATCTCTTCTCTAGATTTCAAGGATTTAACCAGAAGTAACCCCTGATTGGACATTTGCTTCCACAATAACACATTTGCTGTAATGTCTACAAACTAGGATCAAATGAAAGGACTACTGCATTGCTGCTGTCTGTTGTCACCATCAGGTGTTTTGTGCGGCTGCTGGACTTTGCCTAACTTTTGATTAAATAACTGCAAAATGCTGGGTGTGAGTATACACACTTGTAGTCCCAGCACTTGGAAGGCTGAGGCAGGAGAAAGTTTGAGGCCAGCCTGGGTTATCTAGGAAGATCCTATCTCAAAAATAAATAACTGCAAAATGAATGGTGAAAGATTTAGAAGACTGAAAACTGTCCTATCTGAAAATTGCTCAATCATCTCCAGTATTTTCCTGTCTATAATTATGTATACCATAATCTTAATGGTGGTGACTATAGTGAATAACTGGAGATTTAGGCAGATTAAAGAAAAGTGCTAGAGTCAGGCATGATGGTTCATCCCTGTGTCTCAGCACTTAGGCTGAGACAGAAGGATTGCCGCAAGTTCCAGGCCAGCATGGGTGGGCTACATAGTAAGTTCAAGACCAGACTGAACTACACAGCAAGACCCTGTCTCAAAAACAAATTTTAAAAAAGTGCTATTAACTATTGAGTTCAAGTATAGGTCTAGGAAATATCTGAATAAATATTCAAATGATTCCAGAGAAAAAAATAAACCAAGGTTAACAGTGGCCTTTAACTAGTAGAACTATTTTATCTTTTATTTTCCAAGTTCTCAGTAGATGGGATTTTTGAAGGAGGACACTGTTTAAGGAATGTAATACCAAGAAAATAATTGAAATAAGGAAATTCATACCAGCACCACTGGGGCAGTCCTCATGTCTTCTGTGTTTTCCCAGTAACTACATGCATTTCTCACCACAGTTTGTATAGTAAGGGGAAGGAGAAGACTGAAACAGTGCAGTGCCCCTGTCGAAAATTTACAGAACATCCAATGATTTCATAGTTTCTGCCTCTTTACCCTCTGACTGAAAAGGTCATACGATGAATTTTTACCTGAAGAGAAACAAGGATAAGAAGAGGAAAAAGGGAACTAGATCTGGGCATTACAATTAGTCATTGTCTAAATTCCTAAGGTTTTAAGCAAAGAAATCAGGTATGTTTTCTTTCTGGATATGAATTGTAGAAAGTCCAGTTTGTTGATATCCCCGAGGTTACAGGGACTAAACTGCATTAGTTCACCAATTCAGAAGGCTCAGGTATAGTGAATGACCTTTTACACTTTCGGGTAGACTTCCTGTAGGCAAACCAAGTCCCTTAGTACATGTTTTACTGCTTGCTTTGCTTTTGTGTTTTGTTTTGTTTTGTTTTGTTTTGTTTTGTTTTGTTTTGTTTTGTTAGGGCCTTGGTATGTAGCTCTGTTTGCCCTCAATTTGAGATCTTCCTGCTTTCACCTACAGAGTACTAGGATTATAGGCTATGCCCAGCTTACCCTTGTATTTCTGAAGTTCCATAAAACGATGTTTTGTTTCATTCAATACTTAATTCCGTATACAGTATCTTACCAGTTACTAGATATTTTCAGAATGCTGAGTGAGAATCCAAAATAACTATAGTGTGGAACTCTTGCTAATAGCATTTACCATGCTGTGCCTTCTTTTGGGGAGGATTAGAATGTTGAATGACCTCATTTTTCTCTTTCATTAGACATTTTATTTTGGAATTATTGTAGATTCGTATGCAGGTGTAAAATAATAGAGATCTTATGCCCTTTACCTAGTTTTCCACAGTGGTAACTTCTTAACAAAACTACAGTACAGTATCACATCCAGGGTACCGATATTGATGCAGTCACCACAGGACATTTCCATTACAAAAGGCTCTCATGTTGCTTTTTTGTAGCAACATGCGCTTCCCTCCTACTCTACCCCTCCTTAACCACTGGCAGCTACTAATATGTCGTCCATCTCTGTAAGTCTGTGGGTATTTCAAGAATGTCATGTAAATGGAATCATACAGTTTGCAGCCTTTTAACATACATACCAAGCATAATTCTCCAGGCTGTTTCTGTACTGGTATTTGGGGGTGGGGGGAAGGGGGTATTAGTAGTTTATCCTTTTTATTACTGAGTAATATTCCATGGAATAGATATAGCAGCTGGTTTAGCCATATCTTCATAAAGAACATCAGAGTTGTTTCCAGTTTTGTATCATTATGAATGAAGTTCCTGTAACCACAGATTTTTGTGAACATAAGTTTTCATTTTTCTAGGAAATATGCCTAGGAATGGAATTGATGAGTTATATGGTAGTTGTATATTTACATTCTTAAGAAACTAAGAATAACTTTAGCTGTTTGACAGAGTAGCTGTACTATATTACATTACCTTCAGAAATACGAGTTTTTCCTCCTTGAAAATCTGCAATTCTATTTCTATTTTCTGTTAAAAAACCCTAACCATTGCCGGGCACAGTGGCGCACCCCTGTAATCCCAGCACTCAAAAGGCTGAGGCAGGAGGATTGTTGTGAGTTTGAGATCAGCCTGGGCTACAAAGTAAGTCCAAGGCCTGCCTCAACTGCATAGTGAAACCCTGTCTCGAAAAGAGAAAGGAGGAGCTGGGGATATAGCTCAGTGGCACAAGCGCCTGCCTGGCAAGCGCAAGGTCCTGAGTTCAGTTCCCGGCACCAAAAAAAAAGAGGAAGGAAAAAAAAAAATTAAAAATTATTTTAGGTAGATCTCTGGGCACCAGTTCTCTTTAGTTTTCTTTCATTTGAGAATGTCTCAATTTCCCCATCACTCCTGAAGAGTATTTCTTGCTAATAAAAAATTTCTATATTGACCATTCCTAGCATTTAAAACATTTTAGGCCACTTCCTTCTGGCCTCCTCAATTTCTCATGAGAAATCTGCTGTCACCCTAATTATTTTTCCCCCCATACTATGATCTTTTCATTCACTACCTCCAAAGTTTTTCTTTGGAAAAACTTTAGTGTGTCCTGATTTGGATTTCATTAGATTTATGCTATTTTATGTTCACTCAGCTTCTTGAATTTGTAGGTTTATGTCTTTTGCCAAATTTGAGGAGCTTTCAACCATTATTTCATCCTTGGGAGGCATAAAAATGCCTGGTTACTGCTCCCCATGTGGCCCCCACTGCACTACTACCCTCATCATCACTGGCCAAGAATGCAAGTCCTGAATCTCAATGAGGCCTCCTTTCACAACTTAAGAGAAGAAACTCAAAACTAAATATAATGCATAGCATTTATGTTAACCTGTAGTATATGTGACTAGTGTTTGCATATCCTTTTACATGCTGTTCCATTTCTATTTTAATCAGCTTTATTTTACATAAACCTTTTGTATGTGATGTCCAACCTTTTTGGAACTAGTCAAGATAGAGTAAATAAGAAATGTGATACTCACTCTTACATCTGCATTGACTCTATTCCTACATTTAAAATATGTGTAAATCTGAGTAATTTAGAAACTTTTTTTCACTACCTTATCTTCCTTCTCTGTTCCCCCCAAGTTAGATCACTAGTCTCATGTGTTCAGAAATTTCTGGTAAGTCTCTTTGATTGCCCTTTTGAACTGTAGAATGTGTAACTCATAGAAGTCCTGTAACTTTCTTCTAGAATTCTGAATATGTTTCATAAATACTATTGACTTAAAGTGAATAGTGTTTTGTTAACAGTAGAAATGTCACCTTTATATAGATAGTAAAAGGATCATTAGTAGCACAGGTCAGCAACAACAACAAGTAGCACAAATCCGCAACCAGTGAGTTTTCTTTAACAAGTGATATTTTTAACAAACATCAAGGTGACCTGTCTTTTTAAAACACACTGGTATTTCATATAGGACAAAGCCTCTCAGGCCCATAGCTAACATTAGAATTACTCTAAATCATAAGGTTCTGTTGCCACTGATGATCTTTGAGATTGGTAATGTTATATACATATGTACAGGTAGAAATTTATAAAATATGAACAATGATTAATTGTTCAGCTAGCCTAAAAAATTTGTTTATATATTGACAATTTTTTTTAACTTTTTAATCAGGTGATTCCTAAATACACCAAAAGAATATGGCTGCACAGATATCAGAATCTGATCAGATAAAACAGGTAAGGTATTACAATTAAGGGAGAAGGATCTTAGCAAAAAAGCTGGATGCGTCCTTGTCAGTCAGTGATCTCACAAAATAAATGTTTACATTTTACTTCTAAAACTGGATATTAAGAGATATGAAGCATATTTTTTGTTTTCGTTTTTGAGATGGAGTCTTGTTGTGATGCCCAGGCTCCTGGGCTCAAATGATTTCCTGCCTCGGCTTCTCAGGTAGCTGAGAGATGACAGGCACATTCCATTACACCTGGCCTTGAAGCATTTTTTTTTTTTTTTACTAATAATGGGGGAATAAACAGAAAGTAAGACTATTTTGTAGATCATATTATTTTACTTAACGAAAGAATCAAGTTTCAAGACAACATGGTAAATACAAAGGATTGCTAAAGTTTCAAAGTATCCCTAATTGTCAAAACTGAATATTAAATGAACTTTGGTTTATTTGTTTATTTAGTTTAGGGAATTCCTGGGAACTTACAATAAGCTTACAGAAACCTGCTTTTTGGACTGTGTGAAAGACTTCACAACAAGAGAAGTAAAACCTGAAGAGGTATGAAAAGTTTGCCCACAAAAAATTCTCCAAGCCTTTCCTAAACCATAGGCTCCCCTGAGCACTTCACTTATTCCTACTTACTGCAGAAATTTGAGCTGCCTCATATGTGTCATTGCTTGGGGGAACCAAGTCAGCCAAGGACTCATGGCACTGGATTTAATGATACCAAATTTAATGCGATAGTCACATTCTCCCAAGCCATACTTTTCTACAAAAGATACCTGGGACTGCTGAGTTACTGTTTCACAGCAAAAATTCTTAATAGTTATCATTAAGTCAAGATGGCCTAGGTAGAAAAACTTGACACAGCCTTCTTAGGGCCCTAAGAATTGAGGTTGACTCTGAAAAAAGGAAAGCTTGAGTGTGGAGGCTTACATTGCATAAGTGGGCTATTAGAAGTCTTAACTTTTGAGCCGGGTGTGGTGGCACACGCCTGTAATCCCAGCACTTGGGAGGCTGAGGCAGGAGGATAGTTGCGAGTTCCAGACCTCCCTGGGCTACAAAGTGAGCTCAAGGCCAGCCTGAACTGCATAGCGAGACCCTGTCTCAAAAAGACAGACCAAAAAAAAAGGCTTTAACTTTCAACATCCTCATCAGAACATTCATGTATCTTCCCAAAATGATATAAACATCCTCCAGTAGAGGAAGCTGGTAAACATTCGTGCTGAGCACTTGGTATATAACTAGTAGTCAGTAAGTACCTGTTGCACACATCATACAGTACTCTTGTTAAAAAGTAAAAGAAGTTTCTTTTTAAAAAGGAATCCACCTCCTACTAGGTTTATGTTTTAACAGTTTAGTAGGGGATAAGATTGTGGGCTTTCAGTTCATGTTAAAACACACCTGCAGAAACTCCAGTTCACAAGCTTTGTGAAGTCAGGCTACCATTGTTGCTAGTGCCGGCAGATAGTAGGCATTTGGTATATATTCATTCTTGTGGTCACCTGCTACCCATTAATGCTGCGTAGCTTGTAGAGATAGTCAAAGAATAGCAAAGTTCTACTATTTGTTCTTTGAGAATACACTTATTTTTAAAAGGTGGTATTTCTGTGTTGCTTCTTGGGTCTTCCCTTTCTATTTCTAGATCACCTGTTCAGAACATTGCTTACAGAAGTATTTAAAAATGACTCAAAGGATATCCATGAGATTTCAAGAATACCATATTCAGCAGAACGAAGCCCTGGCAGCTAAAGCAGGACTTCTTGGCCAGCCTCGATAGAGAAGTCCCGATGGATGAACTTTTGAGTGGAGGCTGCCGTAGCTGTTGCACTGGTAAAGAATATCCATCTAGTGGAATCTCTGGAACCGGTGGGCACCATGTCAGAACATCTGTCATGACTGTTTGGCAAATGGAAACCACTGGGAAGACACAATTGCTGCTCACCAGGAATAGTCAAAAGGTCTTATTCAGTGAAAATAATAAGGTGCAACATTTGTTGAGGCCTTAAGATTCAGTGTCTTGGTCACTTCATTAGAAAGATAAGCCACTGTTTTTTCAATTTTGACTTAATTTTAAAGAAAAATACGTGTTCAATCATGTAAGAGAAAAAAATTTATTACTGAAAGTGAAATAAATGGAAATATCGCTGAGCAGTTGTTTGTAATATATAGAACTGTCTTCTGACCGCACTGTGGACACTTTGAAATGTTTCTCAATTAGCATCATTCTCCAAGTTTTCTTTTTCACGTCTGCCTCATATTGCTGGTACATAAAAGAGTTGCTTACTAGTCATTGAAATGTACCCCTTTTCTCGCCTCCCTTGTGAGGATGGGCATCACATATTCTTCTTCTGTCTGCATTTTCGTATATGTTCAGGAAATATCCCTTCTGAGGCTGTCTTGGGCTTGCTTCATTAAGCGTCAATTTTTATGCTCTAGTGGAGTCTGTATTTTGCATTTTGTTCAAAAGCTGAGAGTCCAGCGTGAATGGTTATGAGTCTGACATCTTTCAGTTTATTGTCAGTTGTGACAATCAGAAAAAAACAAGAAATTCTGGTTTATCGCTAAGTACACTGAGCAGTTTAGTAAATGTGAGAACTAATACAGATTAATCACCTGCCTTGTGAGTGGATTTTGTTACCAGTCTATGCTTGTGTTTAAGGGAACATTAGTGAGCTACTGTGTTTAAACTTACCAGTGTGATTTCTGTTTTATGTTTTTGGGAAATGGAAGTTTTGTTTTGCTTTTAAAAAGTTAAAATGTTGAAACGTACAGTAGTAAAATATATAATTTGTTATACTGGATATATGAAAAATAGGCTGGGTTCATACTAAAGTAAGAAAAGAACAAAAAATTTACTAAATGTGGAAAACAAAAACTCAGACATTATATTCATTTAAAACAAGGCAATGAATGAACATACTTTGCTGTTCTTATGTAATCAAGCCCAACATTATATACTATATATATTTCACAAAAATAATTAAACATGCAAGTGAGAATTTTGCACAATAGCATCTCAAATACATTGGGAATGTATGTCTGAAAGCCTTCAGGACTTTGCAGTTGCCTATTACTAAAAAGTAAAAGCGTATTGCTGAGATGTTCAGCCTCCATTCTGTCCTGAAATAGATTGGTAAGTTTCAAGCATACCTTTAATGTTCTTCTGGTTTTTGGTTTTTGTGAGACACGATCTTGCCATGTAATTTAGGCTGGCCTTGAAATCATTATGTAGCCCAAGCTGGCCTAGAACTTGCAACTATCTTCCTGCCTCAGCCTCAAAAGTGCTGGGATTACAGGTATGTGCCACCACACCCAGCTAGCCTAATTTTAATGTTCTTCAAAGTATGGGTTGTACAAATTACCAAGAAAGTAACAAGGATTAAAAAAGCAAAATGCATTTTAAAAAGAAAACTACAGGGGCTGGGGATTTAGCTCAGCGGCAAAGCACCTGCCTGGCAAGCGCAAGGTCGTGAGTTCGGTTCCCGGTTCCGGAGAAAAACCAAAACGAAAAAAAAAAAAAGAAAACTACAAAAAAAGTCAAAAACTGTATCAGCCTAAAGACTACTTAGCTCCCGTGAGGAGCAGAGTACACGTGTAAAGGGAAGTGTTAACCTTCACTGCAGTAAAGACGAATGAACAGAAGTTCACTTCTGCATTGGAAGTGTCTGTTCTCACTTAGGCATGTAGGGGACAAGGTATGAAGTGTTTAGGTTATCTATCTGTGATTGGTGAAATTAATTAGAGATGGTTAGGCATGGTGGTGCACACCTGTAATCCCAGGACTTGGGTGGCTGAAGCAGGAGGATCCACATGAGTCCAAGACCATCCTGGGCTATATAATGGGACCCTGTCTCAAAAAAAAAAAAAAAGAAAAAAAAATTAATTACAAATGAAATAACTGATGTTCTGAGTAAACTGAACTTTTTAAAAAATAGATTATATTATCAAAGACTTGGGACAGTTTAGTATGGATTAATATCTGGAGAGGAAAATGATTCATGAACTTTGGTTTCTAAGTAAAGCTTTTTTTTTCTTTGTCTTTTTTAAGTCAAGTTTTTAGGTCAGGCGTGGTGGTGCACACCTGTAATCCCAGCACTTGGGAGGCTGAGGCAGGAGGATAGTTGCGAGTTCAAGGCCAGCCTAGGCTATGAAGTGAACTCAAGGCCAGCCTGAACTCAAGACCCTGCCTCACAAAAAGACAAAAAAAAAAAAAAAAGGAACGTTTTTAAATGAGTTAGAAGATGATTGGATGTGAAGTAATAAGGAATGAATATCTGAAAAATGGGAAATTGATCATAATAGTTCCATGTAAGGTAGAACACAGAATGCCTTACTTTACCTATTTTACTTTTGGAGGGCAAAAGTCAGTGGAATAATGTAATGTTTCAAATCTAATTTATGCTACAATTGGGAAATAACTTAATTTTTGACCCTTGAGACTTGAATGTACCGCATCTCTTCAGGTACTATATAACCATAGGAGGTGAAATTTTGACACATAAAACTAGGCAGGAAGAAGTATATTTCTCTGCAATTAAATATGGTGTTAGATTGTTAATTGAAACATTTTATCCATTTATTCATTGAAATACATGATCATATAAAAAGAAAATGACAGGGAAAAAAATGCTTCCCAAAGATTAGTACTGAGCTTTAACTGAAAAACCATAAGGATGTGACTGACTTGATACATACGCAATATTATGTGCCCACACCTACCAGTGTTGTGCCTATCTAAACGCTGAATTTTACCATATTTTCCAAATAAATTTTCATTACTATTTAACAATATTATAGCTTTATGAAGGTGATACATTAAATCAAAATAATTGAATTGTATTGACCTTTTAAAGATAGAAAACAGTGTCTGCTCTTGAGGTTGACAATGTAACAATACAAAATCAATTTGGTCAATTAAAGCAAAGAGCAAATAAATTCAATCAACCGGCTCTTCAGAAATTCAGTCAAAACAGTTGACTCACTGGTCCCTATAGTTAGCCACGGTGGGTGCTGAACTATAGGGTAAGGCCAGTTTCGGAAAATCTTGAGTCTTCGTGACCTTTAGACGCTGGGCTCTGGTTCTTCCAGCCTTTCAGCAGAGATGCAGTAGCAACTGCACCTCCAGGCTGGGGCTGTGTCCTCAACCTCCCTGGTTCTGCAGCTTGGGCTAAGCAGCTCCTGGCTCCTCTGGCTCTCCAGCACAAGGATGGCCATTGTGCACTCTACCATCTCCAAGCCTGTAAACCTGCCTGATAACAATCCTGCATAATTAGAAAAGATACAGGTTCAGCATCCCTAATCTAAAATTTTTAAATGCCCCAAGGTCCGAAGCTTCTGTTAACCTAATGCTACAGTATAAAACTCTACACCTAATCCATGTGACAGGTTGTGGTACAAATGGATATACTCATATAAAGTTATCTCTGCCTCATATCTCATCCTCATCTACTCTGGAGGCTGAATTGAAAGGGTCTCAATTCAAGGCCAGCCTTGGCAATTTAGACCTTGTCTCAAATCCAAAGGACTGGGGATGCAGCTCAGTGGTAGAACACTTGCCTAACATGTGAGGCATGCCTAACATGTGGGTTCAACCCCTGGCACTGAAAAAAAAAAAAGAAAAAGGAATATTTTTATAATACAGTTGAACTTTTTTTGTTTTGATTCTTAATATTTAGTGATTTGGAAAATTGGCATACTGAGAGTTGTACATGAAAATAAATGAGACTTATTTGGCTTTGCTTCCCTGTCTGCCCAACTGCAAGGCTACAGTGTACAGAAGATGTTCCCCTCCCCAGCCAGTACACTTCAGTTAGTTGCCCAAGTAATAGTTCCAATTACAGTTCCTGTTACTTTCGTTTCTGAAATACAGCTGGTCACTGTGATGCATAGCTGGTCACTATGATGCATATTGTAAGAACCAATCCCAGTTGATAAGCCTTTCTGCCTCTGTACTTCCTGCTTGCTTATCCCATATAAGCTCTAGACCACCAGAGATCAAGGCCTGATATTTTGGGAATGATCCTGATCAGTGCCCATCGATGTAAATAAATCTGCCTCTAAATCCTGGGTGTGATTTTAGTGTTTCTACTTGCCATTGCATCTGATGCATCAGCTGGGAAGACTGACGATGCTCACCTTTTTGGTCGCCAGTCGTGGCTCTCACAGACAGAGCAAAGAGATCTCCAGGTCCTGACGGGAAGGCGCAGTGTCGAGAATTCTTGAGTCCCTCCAGAGGTCTGAAGGAGGATTCCTGGCTCCCTTCTTGAGCAGCTCACATTGAACCCCAAAGGGAGGAGGCAGTCTGTCTGCCTGCCGCCTGCCTGCCGGATTCTGGTAAAATCCCCAGGGGCACCCCAGTTTGAGTAGAAGGGGAGCCTGATCAACTGTTGTTGGTCAGGACCACCCTCAAGGGAAGGGTGTTGAAATGTTTAACCTTCGAGTGCCTGGTGAATGAATGTGTGAGTGAGTAGAGTGGATCGTGTAAGCAATAGAGTGCTCCGTCTATGCACCAAGACTGGGAAGCACTGGTCGAGGTGGCTCATTGGGCTCTCACCTGCACTTCCATGGCAATCAACATATGGCATAAGGGAGGCCTCACACCCTGCTTGACTAAGTTGCTCCTAAGTCCCCACGAGGGGCGCAACCAGGCGGGCATCTAAATGCTCTCTGAAGGACACCCACCCTATGTCTGTTGCACCATTGTTCAAGAGTACACACACATAGGAAGTCAGAGATGGGAAGTAGTCAAAACCCACAGTCCCTGACTAGGAAAAAGGGCTTTTACAGACTTAAAAATGAGACCAAACTGCTCCCTGCCACTCAAAGAAAAAAACAGGCCCATCCTTCCTGAGAATTCTACCTTGGCACCCTCATTGGCCACTGCAGTTGCTGCCAACACCTACAGCATCGGTCCCTACTCCCAGCTCCTCTACTTCCAGCCAACTGAACTGGTTTCAGCCAGCCACTGCCTGCATTCAGCCACAGAGGCCCTCCTCCCGAACCTTCTGCTTCACAGCTACACCCGTCCTGGTCAGATGGCATCATCTAGTGCCCACCCGAGATGACTGTCCGCAACTCCTGTGTTCCACATGTTGACTAAAAAATTGGACTGTCACCAGTGATTTAGCTCAATGGTGCAGTACCTGCCTGGCAAGCGTGAGTCCCGAGTTCAATTCCCTGTAACCAAAAAATTTGACTGTCAGCCCTGATGAATGAGTTGCAATGGCCTTTCCCAAAGGTTGCTCTGCCTAGAACCTAAAATCAGTCAAGAGCTTCTCAAAGACATTGTTACGGTCTGTGTCTAGATGTCGCCCCAAAGCCTCGTGCAGTCATGGGGTGGGTTTCTAGAGTTTTTGATTGATTCATGGTCCAATGCTGGGATTATGGGTGTGAGTGCTACACTCACCCTGGGGCAGGTAGCCTGCATACAATCTAAGGGAGGGGAAGAGGCTTGCTCTTGCTGCTCCTCCCTTTTTGCTTTTGCTGTTTTCTGCCACTATGAACTGTTGCCCTCTGCCACGTGGCACTCTTGCCTTGGAGCCAGCTGAGTATGGACTGAAACCTCCACAAACTGTGAGCTAAATAAACCTTTCCTTCCTTAATTCTGGGTGTTGGGTATTTTGTCTCAGCAGCAAGAGAAAAGTAACCAAGACAGACATCAAAGAGAGGGGCAAAAAGCTCATGAATCACTGTTACCCAGCAACCTGATAAAAGCATCTGATGTCCATAAAAAAAATCCCATCTGATAGGTGATAATACCGTCTGGCTATGAGTTTTAAGGGCTATGGACACAAAATTAAATGCCCCCTCCACCTATGAGACACAAAGAAACCTGTTATCCAGGAATACCTCAACCTGAACCTCTCCTTACCCTGTCAGACTTGGATGGATAGGCCAGACTGA